ACATACCTGTTCTAGTAAATCCGTTTGATTGTACCCTGAAGCTGCCATACGGTGCTGTGTACTCATTGCTGAGACACTTGTCACCCTGGAAGAAGACAGTGTCCTCCAGCCATGGCTCTTCGCAGCCGGATCCCGCGTAGAAACGGATTATGCCGATGCCGGGTGACTGGCGCTCTACAATGGTGGAGGGGTTGGGGAGAGCATTTGCGCCCGTGGCCGCAAGGGCGGCGATAAGACCGAGGATGTTTGTGAGCTGCATCGTGAATACTGGTCGAGAATGAGATGTTCAAGAGATCGATGCGGTACTGGAGTGGTGAAAAGGGCTGATGAGGAGACATGTGAGATGTCGAGTCTGCTCTTTATACATTTTTGGTGCTTGTTCAAAGTCGAACATAGTTTCTGGGCACTACGTTAGTGGTCCAGTATCTGGTAAGACCTAGGTCAACTCCAGCTCTTCGTCAGTCGGCCCACTCCGCCACCAACTGTTAGCGTTGAGGTCATACACTTCCAAGCCGCTTCTTAAAGTCTTGTAAGGTCCATTGACAACCCACAAGTCTCGAGTCTATGCCTCGCTAACTGAAGGGTGGGTCTGGTCATGCAGGTATCCCACAACGTAGAACGAGATGCGATCTGGCATCAACATGCAGTGTCTCGTACGCGACAATGGTATTGGGTGGATCACTCGTATTCCAAGACCAATGCTTTCTGCCAAAGAAACCTTGGTTCTTGCACTCATGTTGGTGGATGATGGAAGGAAGGGTCATTCGCACATATGACGGAAGACTGACTCGCGGTTACCTTGGCCTACGGCACTCGCACTTCTACCCCAGTCTCCATGTGCTGGTTCTCAATCGCCCGAACTGGTTATTAAAACTTCAGCCTGGAAATGATAACTCCATGCAGCATTTATCTGGCTTCATTTGGTACATGAGTTACATACACATTACCACCACAACCACTCTTGATTCTACGCAGCATTTGCGTGCATCTGTCATACCCTTGGCTGTGTATAAGCTGACATGGACAAAGCTGAGCTCATTGGTATACAGACCTACCTGTGCACGTGGCTGCTCACCAGAATTACAGCCAGTGAACCAACTCAGTTCTTGTCGCCACATCTACACCAACAATGGTCATCGTCCCAACAGATCCCACGATGAAAGGATTACTGAACCATCGCCAACAGTAGAGAGACTTTCGCTACCGGAACGTGGCAACGGCAATGTGGGTGAACATCGAGCTGAAAACGCGGGCCGCAGTCGCTTAAGCAAGATGCATGCATGTCTACGGCCCATCGCGCTGACACCGCGTGGGATGTATAGTTTCCGCGACCTTCCGCTCCTAGTCTAGATCAAGCCGTGATTTGTCGGAGTCAAGGTTAGTGAGCATACAAGTTGCAGGAGGCTTATTGAGCTCGCTTTCTGGACCTTGCGATTGGAAAGCGGCGTCGGCCCGATATTCGATCAAAAGATAACCATCAGAGAATGTCGACACATAGATGCAGATTGTGTGTACAATGGCAAGTATACCCTATGATTGGGCTAGTGTGTTTGCATGCGAAGAGGTGTGCGTGGTGAACACGACTATGATACATCCGAGTGGAGATCGAAACTTCTCGTTCTTCATACGATCCCAACACCCTCGACTCTGCCCGCATCACTCGATGACCTTGTATATTGATAATATGTCGCTCTTTCATTGCTTCTCCCTTCTCCCGAGCCTTCACCTAATGGCCTCATTTCTGTAGGTTCATCTGGTCCCGAAACAGCACTGAAGCTTGGTGTTCTAGAGTTTACAGCAGGGCTCCCTTGGAACTTTGGATCATGCATAGCTTGCACGTAATCCTGCACTTTCTTTCCTGGCATGGCACCGTCGCGAACGTATGATGTTAAGCCAAGAATGACGCAGACAAGGGCGAATGCATTAGCGAGAGCATAAGGGACGAATAAGCCATAGGCCTTATAGTTGTAGCGGTTTACGTCAGTGGTAAGCTTAACGGTCGTGTTGGCCATATCCCTAGACGAATCAGTATCTGCACTGCTTGGAGAATGGCGTTCTACTTACGTTAGTAGGCGGTTGTGCATCATGCTGACTGTCAGATTGGAGCTCAACTCTTCTATCAGGATATCTAGCGTCCGATTTCTCGCCATGGCTTTGTCCTTCAGTCGCTGGTCACTCAAATCGAATGCTGTCGACATGTTTTGATCTTTATACAATTCTTTCTCTTCGTCAAACTCGAAGTATGCATCAAAGTCCACGGAACCCAGCAAACTGGTGTGTTGAATGGGCGAATCGATGATACCAAACTGAGCTGTTGCTTGCTGCTCATCTTTAATACTCGTATCATCCATCCATGCAAGCTTCCCGACAAGTTGATCGCACACAGTCCACATGAATGCTGTGTATGCGTGTTGGGTCATGTTTGAGATCTCGTTCGGCTTCTCATCCGGGAAAGGAATGGTTTCGCCGACTTCGTATTCGACTGATACATTCTGCACGCCATGATACTGCGAGATCTCCAGATTGTAGGATGCGTTGTGCGGCCGACAAATTTGGTAATGACGTGTCTTGACTCGCTCGCCCTGGCCGTTAATTTCAGGTCGCAGAAATGTCATCCAGAGTTCGTTCATGGGTGTTGAAGGTATTTGTCGACGAGGGTGCGACACTGCTGTAAGACTTCCAGTGCTGTTGTAGGTGGGAACGAAGCTGAAATATGCACTAGCCGTTTCGTTTAGTGTACCACTTGTGGCATTCATCTCTTCCTTCAGAAGACCGTCTATGGCATGTCTTTCTGTATCGTTGGCATCCCCACACCTGATCACAGGAGCGTAGAAGTCGATGGAATAGGCTGAATTGTTGAAAGGCAGATCTAGTGGTAGTATCTCGCCCAGAGAAGATGTGGCAGTAGCTAACAGGTTCATGACGGTCCTTGGTCCAGTGAAGATTCGATTCACATCGTTTTCGTATTGTTTTGTTCCGCGTACAGAAGGCGGCGAATAAGTGAACAAATGCGCTGCACTTACATTTGCGATGGACGGGTGCGGCATAGCTGCGTTGATGTGTTCAACTTGGGTGCTTTCGAATATGTACAAAGTCGCAGGCGTGAAGAACGGCGGTATCAACAGACCCCTGGATACACGTTAAAGGAAGCTCAGCAGGTAGAGCGAGCCACTTACCATGCGAGGAAAGCGATTGTTGACCCTACCTTTAGCCTCTTCCACATTTCGACGTTGAGAAAAGACAATACCGATGTTTCAGCTCCAAAAGCCGAATTTAGGACTTCGAAAGTCATGTCCTTCTTCATGAGAGTCCTCCAAAGCCACTGAGTGCACGCAGTCCATACGCTTGCCCCTAGGCATATCTGAGCGAGGAAGGCAAAGCCAGTGCCAAATCTGATGCCATCAGCTCACTGCAGGATATTTGTGATAATACTATACTACCTTATTTTCTCCTCTTGTTGATCGGCTTTGCCAACTACCTGGTCTTTGAGTTTCGGGTAAAAGATGCAATGCGCCATGCTCATTGCTAAGCCAACAAGGAAGAACAGAACCATGAGAAGTGGAGTTTTCCATGTATGAATGCGACGCGCTTCCCAATTAGGAAATCTCCGTGAACCATGATGTTCTGCTACTGGTCCGGTTGCTGGCGATGGCAGCGGGTTTGGGATTAGACGTGCGTTGGATCGCGTGGAAAGACTATCATCGTGGACCTGTTGCCTCTCCATCAAACTGGCTTCAACTTGTCTAGGGCTCTCCATGATAGTGTTGTATCAAACTGTTCCTCCGACCCAGGCAGACACACTCAACTGATCGTTGTCAAGGATCACGTAAAATCTTGATCCTAGTCTGCTACCTCTAGTCATAGGGAGAGTGTCGCACGGAATCAAAATAAAGCAAAAGCAGAGTGTATGATATGGTCGAGTGGCGGCTGTCTCTGTGCCAAATATTAAACATTGTTGGAGAGTCTCCCCACCATGGGAACACCGGTGAGGGCTGCTGTGTGCAAACAAAGTAGTAGCGAGGCTGAGTCGATGGAGTAAGACGATGACACCCTCGTGGGTAGATGTCTGCCTGTATGTGCCTAGTCTCTGGACTTAGCAATAAAGTTAGCTGCAGGACCACGGACCTGGCGTTCGTGAAAGATCGGACGTCATACCAGATCGGGACACGATCATTGCAATGGTGCTAAGAGGCTGTGATTCTAATGACGATGCTTATCTGGGTCGGCTTCCACGGTAAAGTGCAGTAAATGTGAGAACTTCATGCCGACTTTATCTAGCTGGCAAATATAGAATCAAAGTCCATCGGCACAGTCTTGAGCTGTATCGCGCCATATTCGTGGGGAGTTCGTGCCTGTCAGCCATCGAAGCCTGACGGCGAGGGGTACCTGCAGCAAGGGTTAGCGATGACGCTCAGCCACCTCAGGTGAGGGAAGAGAGCAGCTCCTACACCAATTCGGGGCACAAAATATATTGCGACGGGGCGAAGTACCGAAGACTACTAGGATGGTCTCGTGTCACAGTAAGCGTCCAATTATCAAGCTTCTCGATGCAACGTGAGACTTCTTAGTGGTGTTGATTGGACGGAGAGAATATAAGACATGAAATGACCCGTTTTCAATGCGATAGATGATTGCTGTTGGTAAGTAATGTCCATACGCTCGGCTCTACTGTGTAGTGTTCTCTGGCGCGACAAAGGGCCGAAGTGGTTCCTTTGGGGCCGGTAAAGGCACGGTTCGTGTTCTACAGTCCGTGCGTAGGTAGCCCCTTACAGTTCGCTCTTCCGCTCGCTTTCAAAACACATTGTTCACGTTTACCAGACGTTTTTCTTAAGACAGATGTTGAATTGTCTATTCTAGAGCTCTCTACTGTTTAAAAGAGTGTCTTAGCTTCTCATAGCCCTTGCCACGACAATGAGAATGCCAACGTGTATTCTATAGTTCTGACCTCATCACGACCGCTGGGATTGAACCGAGCGCTCGAGAGACTTTCAAATCAGTCTTTATTCAGGCTTTGGAGCCTTCCCGATGTCAGGGTAAGTGGCAGCTTGACCGTCAACAAGCTCTAAATACCACCATGCTCCAGCTACCCCGTTCCCGCCATTCCATATTTCACACTTGGTGTTATCCGCAGTCTGGTAAGAGCTTGTGAGAAGCTTCATATCTTTGTTACCCTAGAGAGAGATTAGAAATACATGTCATGCATTACTTTTAGTAGTAGCATATTCAAGCTTACCGCTGACAGAATCCTAAAATGCTTGTTAATATACTAAGACAAAGGCGCTTTGGAGTATGCGTAGGAGCGAAAAAAAGGTTATACTGACCAATAGGTGCCTGTATCATTCCTGGTTGGTACGACATTCCAGTGAGTACGTTGCAATGCGGGCGAGTCGCGAGTCACAGTCGTTGGTCCAGCCTTGCAATAGTCTACAACAAAGTTAGGACTAGTACTAGCGACTGCTTCTACTTTGTAAGAATCTGGTTTACCGGGAGCTGTTAGGTGGAGTCCTGTTTCGACGTTGATGGTCATGAACTCATCCTTCCCAGACGTTCCAGAGCCCACGTGAACAAATTGCCAGTGACTGAACTTATCATTGGCAGAGCTGTTGGGGTGTCACGTTAGCCGTGGCAACTATAGAAGAAGAGAGCTAAAGTTGCATGACCTTGGAAGAGCTACTAGAAGTGAAAGAATGCGACGTTCGTCTTTTGATAAAGAGATGCGTAAGCTGTCCGGTACGTTGTATATGCACAACCACCTGCATGGCACTCGTACTCAGTACTGGATGTAGACAATGGGCACCGTCTGGGCAACATGCAAAAAGGCGCAGATCTCCGTGCAGGTGTGAGTCCACAAATCTTTCATCGTATCTGCACATATAGTCTCCACTGTACTGTGAGCAAACTTAGGCAGGTTAAAGGTGTGTGGAATGCGGGGCGGGGTTACCCGCGCTCCCGATGTATTATATCCCTGCATGAATGCCCCACTCGTATACAATAGTCCGATCTCTAATACGCTTTTAACTTGTTAGTATGAACTGGTTGTAGCCACAGTAATAGCGATAGACACAGAATTAGTACGATCAAAAAGCTGGCAACGGCTTGGCCTGCAGCGTGCTTTCCACTTTTACAAGTCGCTACGAGCCGATGATTGAGGGCTTATAGCAATCGACAGCTATAGCTACGTATGTTCTTTAGTGTAATACAAAACGTTGCGTAAGAGAAAGAACAATAGGTACAGGCGGTGAGAGAATACAGGTAAGCCCGGTGCGGACTGTAACCCCAGGAAAGAGGGGTGCAGGCTCTATAAACGTTGAACCTGACAACGCCAGACACATGCACTGAATATCTGCTTGCATCGACAATATGACTCTCTCAGACGATCTGTAGCGTCTTGAAAAGAATCCGGCGACGAAGAGAAACATTCCGCGAAGCTATTGGTGTGTACGATCGGAGAGCTTCTCAGCGGGGCTGCCGGTTGGCGTAGGCACGTTGCTGCACACGTAAAAGCAGTCTCGCATGAGACGCCTCTCATCTTGGAATCCGACTGGCAGCAGGGAAAGTTTTAAGCTACGCTTAGATTGAGACCCATGTATAGTTACAACAGACGGATATGCAATCTTGGATGTTGGAGTATCATCTCTGCTGTTTTGCGGATCGAGCAGGCAGTGCCAACTTCGCTGTGCAGCCCGCGCATTGATCGGTGAGTGGAATGAGTCTCGACATGCAGGCCATAGTCGGTTTACTGGTAATGGATGCTGCCGGCAGCCCCCATCGTGCGAATCATCGCAGTGCGCCGGTCGTGTCCCACAACGCTGCTTATATGCACAACGTCGAGCCGTAGCTTACTAACACCCGTGAGTTACGAGTGGTTTTCCTTCTTCCTCTTCTTCTTATTCCAAATACTGCTTCAGCCGGCGGCGTGCTGTTACAAACATCCGAGCAATAGTTTTACCAAGAGATTCCTATCGACTGGTTTGGCAATGTATCCCGTCATGCCTTTAGCAATGTAAGACTCGGCCTGTCCCTTGAGCGCATTTGCTGTCATAGCTATGATTGGCACCTGTAGCCCTTTCGCTCGAATGTCTTTAGTGGCGCTGAGACCATCTTGGATAGGCATGTTGACGTCCATCAAAATCAGGTCGTATCCTGGTTCTTCTATAGCTTTAGTGACTGCTTCTTTACCATCCGGTGCCGTATCTACATTCTCAAACCCCAGACCTGCGAGCATCCGTGTCATGACCTTCCGATTGATAACATTGTCTTCCGCAAGTAAAAGACGTTTGTCGGCAGCCACCGTCCTCAGTGTTTCCATGGGGTCGACCACTGCGGGTGATGGGATCTTTAATCCGGCCATACCTTCTTGGAGAACTTCGAGAGCCTTTAGCTGTTTACATTTCTTAAGCTTGGCAGTGAACCAGAATACACTGCCAGGACCTTCGGGATTAGGATGAAAGCCAACGTTCCCGCCCATGAGTTCTGCCAAAGATTTGCAGATACTCAGACCTAGTCCTGTGCCTTTGTATCTCTTAGTGGCGGAGTTGTCAATTTGCGTGAACGGGGTGAATAAAGATTGTGAACCGCTTGCTGGTACACCAATACCAGAGTCTATCACTTCCGTCAGGATAGTGGCATAGTCCTCATCTTCTTTTTGCAAGCGAGCTACAATGCGTACGTAGCCCTTCTCGGTAAATTTGGTTGCATTCGACAAAAGGTTCTGGATTATTTGTCGATAACGCAAAGAGTCTCCTTCGGCGGAGCTTGGTAGGTTGTCGTCCAATTCGATCTCCAATTCGACTTCGGGGCTGTGACAGGTCTGATGTGCTCGAAACACGGATTGAATAACATCTCTCACGCTTATAATGTCGTTGCTGATGGAGAAGCTACCCGAAGCGAGCTTGCTGAAGTCCAAAAAGTCGTCGATCAATTGTAAAAGCACGTCACCCGACTCTTGGATGATCCGTGTGAGCTCTAGCTGATTATTGTCCAGTTTTGTATCGAGAAGCAACGTCAATGCAGACAGCATACCGTGCATGGGTGTGCGGATCTCATGACTCATGTTGGCCAAGAATTCAGATTTGAGCTTCGATGCTTCTTCATAGGCGGCAATAAGACTGTTCTCTGCTTTTCTTCTCTCCGTCAGGTCCCTTGTGACCTTGGAGAACCCGAGCAGAACGTTGTCCTTGTATACTGGGGTGATGACCACGTTTGCCCAAAACTTTGAGCCATCCTTGCGAAACCGCCAGCCTTCATCTTCACATCGTCCGTCACGGAGGGCATCTCGTAGTTCTCTTGATGGTTTATCGTTGTCGCGGTCTTCCTGGCAATAGAATGTTGAGAAGTGTCTGCCAATGATTTCGGAAGGTGTATATCCCTTGAAGCCCTGGGCTCCTGCATTCCATGTTGCCACATGGCCAGTCGGGTCTAGCATGAAAATGGCGTAGTCCTTGATAGTGGCTACCAACAACTGAAATGTCTCATTGTGATAGGAGCGTTCTCTGAGCTCAAGCTGCCGCTTGTGCTCCTCCGTGATGTCGAGAAACTCCATTTGAATGCAACGTAGTGTTCCTTGACGCAAAATTGGGACCGCTCGTAAGCTCCAGGCACTACCCGTGTTTGTCACAACCGTTGTCTGCTGGAGCTTGTCAGTTCGACATGCGGTCCTCACAAGTTCACGAGCTGGAGTGAATGCTGGAATGGTAGAGTTGAGGTCCAAAATATCGTCCGCATGTCTGCCTACAAGCTTGACGCGATCGTTTGTTTCTGAAACGGTCACATAACTTAGATATGTTAGTAAGTCATCAAACTTTCCGACATCGCTAATCTTAGGCTGTACTAACGAATCTGAGACATGGCGCACGAAGAGCGATGCATCTAGAATGACAGTCGGCGTTGGTGTGAACCTGATCAAGTCGTATGCAAGGCTGCCGGCAGTGTAGTCGTCGTGCGTTCTCAGGGACGGGAGATCGTCAAGCGCGGCAGGTGACAGCGGCGTTGGCAGCACTCTCATGGACGCGGCCATCACTCCGAGCCAGGTGAGCTAGACTGCACTAGGTTAACAGTGGAGACGTATGGTGTGTTCAAGAGAAATCGTACGAGTTTTGCATGGCGAGGAATTGAACGGCCGGGGTCAGACCAGGCTTTTGTGGCTCACGACTCTCTTACTATGCAATTCGTGTGACCTCCGCGGTAGCGGCAGACGAATCTAGAATCAGCGACAGCGTGACGTCACATTCAGCTCTCGCCCGATAGCTACCCATGCGTTTCCCACCTCGTAAAAACACTGGCAATGCGCAGGAAAGCCCGATTTGTTGTGATGCATGCTTTTGCCACATCTACACAATTCAATTGGCTGCATCAAAGCCATGCGCCCACTCGAACACCTGTTACTTGGTAAGCCCCACTCTTCTGAACGCTACGGCGCTGTTTCCCCTGCATTGGGCTGTGATCCAGAACTTCCATCGACAACAACATTCACTCATCCGAAAAACCATCACCAGCGACAGCATACAATAGTACGAAAGAAGCGATCATTCTAAGATGCATGCGGGGCTTACTTTGTTGGTACTCGAGCAGTACCTACATCCCTCAGACCAGCATGCTTCTTGCAATGCACCAATGTCGAAGACTATTAGAGATAATAGTGACCAACATATGGGTACTGTAGCCTGGCTGGTAAGGCAAACAAAATTTGGAGCATACTTTCCAGAATGTCGCCGAACGATTAGTAGTTTTCGGCGAACGCGAAAGAGCTAGACCACTTCAGATGCCCCCCGGAAACCGCACCCGAAGCACACTGTCAAAACTCCCGGTAGAGGACCTTCAGATCTCGCACAAATACCAGAAACGACGTAGGTTTTCTATAATCAGACGGGAGGTGTACCGGATATCGAGGATGTAAGCTTCCATGTTCATTTGACACATTGAAGCGAAACTTGAATGCGATGAACCATAAACGCCGCGATCTATCCTTCCTTACACATGTTATTTTTTGTGTTCTTCGGGAGCTTTTCCAATAGTTCCTTGAGCTAATTCTAGCGGGAGCTTATCACTATAATATAGATGTAAAGCTTATTGTTAAATCGTCAAACATGGTATAAGAGAGGTCGTATCTACTGCTCTCTTTGCACCCACAATCACCAACGCTTTCAACACGATATGCTGTCGCAATACAAAGCTTTTAACTCCACCTTAAGAGACCTGAAAAGGTAACTGGACGCCTGCAAATATGTGAGGTAATTACGTTGCGAAGATGAAGCTGCGAAGTAGTCTTTGTACCTAGGTACTTTCTTCGTCCTATCTTGTTTGGGATACTAAAGTTTTGTATCAGAGATTCATTTGACAAAATACGCCGGTACACAATACATGGAAGAGTCGTCCTCTCATCCTGTCATGGCTGACCAGCTGGAAACCACTACTTCCTGTGCGGTTTTGTTCGGTGACCGCTGCAGCTGTAATAGCGGAGTTGATCACAAGTGGTATACTTGTGCTGAGCGGCTATATCGCGGACTTACCGCCCATAGTCCGCCCAACTGACCCTTACCGATAGTATATGCTTATATATATATACATACATATTTCTTTTCGCGACTACGTTCACCCCCACTCACCTACTTTCACCTTCACACTGCAAATCTGAGAATAGCCAAGACACTTATTGCATAAAGTCTCACTCCAACCCTTTGCTATATCTCCATGGACAAGCGCAACCATTCACAGTCCCCGGCACAAGCACGTAAACGCTATGCTTCGGCAACACCAATCTCTAGTTTCACAAGTTCGCAAGACACTATTGCAAGTGACTCTAAAAGTGATACGGAAGAAAAGGCTTCAACTCTAGGCCCCTCTGAACAACCATCAAGAATGAAGTCTTCGTCTTTCGATTCTGGTTTTAATTCCTCGCAGCTCGCCAACGATACCGACAGTTCCCTCTCACCCGACCACTCTCATCAACGACGTTCAGAGCTTCTTGAGGAGGTTTCGATTCACATCCTACCAGCAGTGGCCACCTTTGCGGGCATGGTCACAAAGGGGTCTTTGACTCCATCTATTGATCATGAGACGTCTAATAATTGCACAATGGTGCATACACCCATTGTTCAACTTCATCAACTTGGCTGACATACCTGTAGATTTTTCCGTATGCCGCAAATGGTTTCCAACATCCTCCGTTTACAGCATTAGGTAATTATGCAACAAAAGATCTCTTTCCCATTTTTGAGACCGGCGATGTCTTCATCGAGACAAAACTGGTCACTCCACCGAAACAATGGCGACTGCATAGTGAGGTACTTGCGCGATTCTCATCATGGTTCGCCAGAGCTTTATCAGGCATGTCTGCTACCGTTGTAGGGGCAACACGGGCAGCATACACTATTGAAGAGGTTGATGGCAAAATCTTGTTAACACAAAAGGAAGCCACTGGAGAGTGGTCAATTATCCGAAACAACAAATCTGATGTACCCAGCGATATTGCGATCAAAATTGAGAACGAAGACTCAGATTCCAGGGCCGCTCCAAGGATCACTCCAGATCGAACGACCATTATTGATATATACAATCAGGTCTTCAGCGCGTTCTATAACGTTGCGATAAACATCCCAACCACCAACATTGCGGCCTCAATCAATCACTCAGAGCAACTCACCAAGATTGCCGATGATTTGGGCTGTCTAGAGAAACTCCCGAACTTAACTTCCCAGATGAATGCAACGCTCTTCCAGCACCGTCATACACTCTTCCGTGCAATCAAAAATGATCCCGCACGATGGCTTCTTCTGTCTCTCTCACTGAAGAACGAATCTATCTACAAAGAGTCCCTGATCCACATGTGTGGTGCCCATCCCTGCTGGCCCTGGCCTACACCGCGCTCCAGCCTACCCGAGGGGATCCGTCACTTGATAACTACAAAAAGCTCCAAACTCAATCAACGATGCGCCGAAGTTGAGCGCGAGCTCCTTCTCTTAACAATCCACGTCGGTCGCGGCACCAACAATCACGCCGTCTCCCCCTTGACAAACTCGGAATTCGATACCTGGTTCATAGTCTCGATGTTCCGCTCCATCCTTGGCCAGGAACTCATCAGCCTAGACAAAAATCGTAAGAAACCTCTATTACGCGGTAACATGTTTCGGAAGATTAAGAAGGGAGAAGGGTACATGCTATACGAAGATATGAGACGCATGATGGAACAGGTTATGCCGTCTGCGGTGCAGAGTTTGACTGAGGATCTGGCGATCTTGAAGAGAGAAGCGAGTATCTATGTGGAGGACTTGGCGCGGAATGAGTGTTTGCTTGATGTCGAGGCGCAGAAGGTGGGGTGGCTGACTTGTGTCAAAATCGAGAAGGAGGATATACCTTGGGGGACTGGGGGTGAGTGTCATTGCCGCTGGGTAAGCTGAATGGAGTTGAAACCTGGATGTTACCTCTGCGTATAAGAGTGCCACCTGGGGCGGTTAGAGAACGTTGGGAGTTGTGAGTATGGTGAGGTGGGAAAGAACTTGCTGTCCTCTCAGTTATACGCTCATGCTGAAAAGGTGCCTTGAAGGTATGCAACTGCGATACGACACGAATATTCTAACAGGTGATACGACGAATATCTTTAGGGAACACTGAGACTCAGCAGAGGCAAGCTGCTTCGTGCGGATTCTCGGGACTTGTATCCTTACTCATAGTTCACCTCATATGCCTTGATGTAAGAGGATAAAAACTGCTTTTCGACATATTTAAATAGGGGTATCATTCTTAGGCCAATAGAAAATTTCCAATCAACTCATCATCTGCGTGACGTCCCTCCAAACCCGGTGCTCTCATGCCTGGGGCTGGAGAAACTATCACCAGATGAACTTCTTGAGCTTCCTTCACCACCATTGTTCCAGCGACTGCCGCTACCGCTTCCAGCGCCCCAGCCACCAGTCTGGTTGTTCCTGTTCCCTCTGTTGCCGAACTGACCAGCAGCCCATCCGGCGGCAGCACCGCCTGCAGCACCAGACCAGAAGCCAGGCCTCCAGCCCTGTGTCGCGCCGTAGCCTGCTTTGGGGTTGCTAGGATTGTTCGGGTTGTTCGGGTAATACGGTGGAGGTGGGTCGTCGTTATCATCGTTGTAACCTCCTCCCCATCCACCACCGCCGCCTCCCCAGCCAGGTCTATTGCCGCCTGCTACACCGCCATCGGGGCCTTGCGCACGGTTTCTCAACGCAGAGTATATCATCCATAGTACAACACCACCGAATAGCATCCAGAACAGTCCACCAGCAATCTTCTCGCCCATGGTCTTGGGCCCATCACGTCGGTCTTCGTCGTCGTCACCATGCCATCCTCCTCTTCCCTTTCCATATCTCTCCTGCCCCTTCTCCGTGAGTATAAGGCGATACTCGACACCACAGCTGCCTTTCAGAATATAGGGGTCTTCGGGGTAATCGTAGCCTTCGCAGATGACATCGGTAGAACCGAGTTTGAACTCTTCGGGAAGCGAGGCGGTGCATGTCCATTGTATCGAGTTTTCGTCGTAGTCGGAACCGCTGTTCTTGCAGCGCATCACATCGGGTTCATAGAGGCCGCGTGCCGAACCGCCAATGCATTTCAGCTAGAACGTGTTAGTAGGCTGCATTGAGGGGCACAGTAAGATGCGCGGGATGAAGTCGTACCTGCGGTATTGGATCAACGCGTCGCGCAGAAGTCTTTTGGTCTTTGCGCAGCGTGAGACTCTGTATATTTGCGAGCTTGACTTTGTCAGAGCGAAGGGCTTCAGCGCCACTCGCTGCTAGAAGCGCTGGGTAGAGAAAGTTGAGGAGATGCATGTTGCGCACGATGAGTCAGAAGATCGTCAACAGGGACAACCAAGGCACTTGAAGTAGTCCCCAAGTGGCGAAAGCATGTGAAAGGACACGGTGGAGATGTCTTTGTGCCTTGAGGCTGAGTTCCAGAAGCTGGCGGCGCCAGTGAATGCCAATGACGCAGCGCCGAGGCACCAACAGGGTGATCCTGCCCTAGCACCGAACACAGACTAGCGCGGCTCGTTGACATGGCATCGCGAGCATCACGCGTAGAGGAACACGGAAGCCATCCTTCCAACAACCATGAAACAGCGAATAACTTATGTTGTCAAGAAACCAGAGGAGTTTACTCCCGACCAACTTGATGTTGGCGAAGACAAGTCTGGCCAGTACTTTGCTCTGGACAATGTTTACGCAGCGAAAGAACACCGTATCACACTCGGTCTAGATGAGTTGCCTAAAGAGGTGTGTATTTTGGCATCAATACTTCAATCTAGAAGTTCGCTTCAGTCTAGCTCACGTCTCATAGATTAGTAAAGTCTTTCAGCAATGGCACGAAATACATCTACGTTGGACATCCCCAAGACCTTACGCATCGACTCCGCCATTCACATCACGTGTCTCACCTGGTCTACACATCTTCTTCACGCCTCTATCAGATACACCGGAAGACGCACTATGCTCAGGGCTTCATCTTCTCGTCACTCCGGACTTGAAATGCTCATCAACATCTTCAAGTTCCACCAAGATGCCTATCCTCTCGGAGCGTTTCTCAATGTCAACTACCTCGCAGTACTACGATTACATAGATGAGATTGACAGGATGAAAGGTCCATTTCAACGTACCTTTTGCGGAGAGAATGCAAGTCGTGAGTGCTATGACATGGTGAATAGCTTCGCTACATCAAGCTATGTCGACATAGACTACGACACCATCTCGAGAGGCGTGGTCCTCACAGCTGGATGGGCGCAGGCAAGAGACGATGAAAAAGGCTGGACTCAGAAGATCAGGCAGCCGAGTAAAGATGCGACGGTCGAGATTGGCGTGTTGAGTCTAGAGGGGAACGCAGACCCCGAAGACATCCAATTTGGAGGTTTCTTGACAGTGCTAGGACAAGACGAGAAACCGAGTACGCCTTTCCATCTTGCTACGTTATCCCCACAGCATAAAAACGAAACACTGACAAAAAACAGAACCCACACGGTTCCAAACCCCAACCCGTCACTACCCCCTTCTCCAAGCCTCGGAGAATCCAACAGCACAACCCAAACTCCACCCCCTAACATACAGTACCTCTTTGAATCAACCAACAGGCCTCCATCCAACACTAACCCTCACCTTCCCTGCGCAACATCTCGCACCCCCTGACCGCTCCTGTAAACTCCACACGCACCTAACCCTCCCTTCCTACCTCTTCATCGACAAATACCAATTCTCCGACAACCTCTTCCTCAAGAGCAAGAACCTCAAGCGCCTCCGCAGCCTATCCGGCGCTACAGACCTCGAAGCCCCAGACTGGGCTGTGCCAGCTTGGGGTTCCGCTGCGCTCTTCGAACTTGGCGTACCCAAACCAGAAAAGATTGACTATCCCAAAGTGGATCTTGGTGCTGGTGGCGAGAACGCATGGGAAGGCTTACCAACGTACCGCGAGATACCAGAGGGGGACTGGAATGTCAGTATACCGTTGCATCTACGGTACATGCCCGCTGAGGCGTCGTCGCGTGCTAGACTGCCGGTTCCGTGGCCGGTAGTGTTCTGGGCTTGTCGGGCTGAGAGCGGCGCGCAGCATACGTCTAATCCTTTTGACCGCAAGCATTTGGGGTACGAGGGTCTGTTTGGGCCGAAGACTAGGTTCATGCATGTGCAGCCTGAGGTAAGGAATCAGACGGCCGAGGGTGATGGGTTAGTGGAGTGGATCGATGTGCCAGTGCTTGATACGAGCAAGGCTGGGTGGGTCGAAGTGGGCACTGTGGGGGTGGTCTTGTTTGCCTTTGCGGGGTTGTGTTGGGTGTTGTTTGGGAAGAGTGGCAAGGGGGCTGTGAAAGAGGAGAAGAAGAAGCAGTAGGTAGACTCAATCATCACGACGTATTGGGAAAGCTTCAAGGTATTCAGATCTCTATCGATCTTTCGCTATCATTCAGCGGGTTCAATTGGGTATCTCTCATGTGTTGCGCCCCCACATGCTTCTACACTTTTCTTCATATGTATCTCCTGGCACTGTTGTACAGCCGTGCAATGCAGTATTCTGCTAACCTTGTCCTGCTTCCCTGCCGCTAGAGCCTAAACTATCGTAATCGGCGCGCTCACAGGCATGCTCGACATGATCGGCAGCGGTGTGCCAGGGAAGATGGGATGAAGCGCATATACTGGTCCTGCACTATCCTCGCTATCAAACAGCATAAGGTTCTGGATGGGCTGTTCCCGTTGTCCAAGTACGTTGATGACGTCTTGTGCCAGCTGGCCACCCAAGAAAGCTGTAACGGGTGCTAGTTCACTGCCCAAGTTTTGCAGGAAGCTACGAAGGACTTCGGCTTTGAGGGAGTCGGTGGGGAGGAGGAGCTCCTTGTGTTTGATATTGGCAAGGGTCGTGAAGATTTGTAGATCAGTTGGCGTATGCGAAGGGTAGACGCCGTGGCCGTTGCGCTGGTACTCCCATAACGCGCGTACGCAAGTGAGTAGCGGGTGAACCTTCTTCAGTCTCCTGGCATTGTTCGCGATCTCTGCTGGGAGCGGACTGTCCTTGACCAGCATCAAAGGACTGTAGAGCTCCTGCTTGCTGACTAGCTCAACCACCTTTCCGTTCTCCTTCTTGATCTGGACGCCCTTGACGCTCCTTGTTGTGCTCTCAGCGCCAACTTGGGTGTCGCGGTTGCTCTTCTCGCGCTCAATGACAAAGTTATGCTCAACCAGGTCGGCAAAGATGTAACCGTACATGCCGTGTGATGCGCCTGCGTAGAAGGGTTTGCGTGCTATACGCGCGCCAGCGTTGACAGCGGAGGTGGAGAGAAAGTCCATGTCGGTGCATATGATGATGTCGTATGCGGCATAGAAGTTGGGATCTTGCTCGTTGCGAATATCCGTGGTGAGAGCCTTGACGGTGACGCGCGGGTTGAGCTTCTGCACTTGAGGCAATGCTGCTTCTGCGCGGTTCTTGCCTACGTCGGCATCGCTAATAAAGAATTGCGCGCCCAGATCATCTTCGGTCACGACTTCGTGGTCGGCGAGCGTGATGGAGCCTATGCCAGCGAGGACAAGGTTCTTCGCGATTTCGTTGGCAAGGGCCTTGATAGAGACGAGCAAGATGTTGGCGGTGCGGATCTTCTGTTGCGCTTGGACGCCCCAGAGGCGGATCTGGCGATCGTAGAGGGCGATTTCATCTAGGCGCCATGTTTAGTACTGCTGCTTGTCGTTGTTGTTGTTGCTGTGGTTCTCAATAGGGTCGCTCTTACCTGCGGAGATGTTGTCGGCTTCAGCAATGGCGGCTACTGTCTGCCCAGCTGCATCCTCGGTTGGCAATGCGCCTGGCAGTGCGCCATTGGTCGCGGGCGGAGGTATCGCGGAGGTTTCGGTGAGATCGGTCATGGTGTTGTAAGACGCGCAGTGGTGTGCTTTGGAGGTGAAAAGTCGCGTAGCGGAAGTGACTCGACGACTGCGCAATCAGTGCAGGTGGTAGAGCAGACCAATCCGGAGTGAGGCGCCGTCTTGCAGCAGAGGCCGAGTAAAGACGGGCTAGCGGTGACGGCATTACCTCGTAGCTTGCCCGTACCTTTGAGGCTCTGCTGTGGCCCGTGCGTACTGCTAGCTCCCCCCCGCGTCAACTGCATGTGCCAACTACACGGGACCGACAGGCTGCCTTTGCTTGTTCGTCCCCTCAGCCTCGACAAGTGCCGTCCACGCTATCCTCTGCCCTGTCTACATAGCGTAAATTACCAGCCCCGACTCTGCTCACCACCCAAACACTGCGCCGTCTCTCGTCTCCTCAATGGGAGCGAGCATCGTCGACGTCACCGATGCCCAGACCGCCCTCGTCTCCGTCCCCACCGCCTGCGGCATTCCCATTCACCACCGGCGGTTTTGACTTCCCTCATGCATCGACCTCTCCGCCCAATGTCTCCCGTACGGCGTCTACAAGCGCAGCGAGGAATGCGCTGCGCTCCCTAACTGAACCGACGCCAGCCGTTTACGATGCGACGTCGTCCCCCAGAGACACTGCCAGGCGCGTGCGCACTCGCACCTCTAACAGAAGAGGCCCACTCCACCGCCTGTTTGGTCCTCCACGTGACAACGATGCCGCAGATAATCTCTCTAGGCGGCCTCCCACTGCAAACCCCAACCGACCTCGCGCTACCCCAAGCGAACGTTACCTCCGCCGCTCTCAAGCCCGCACAAGAGAACAGCGCTTAGCCGACATGGACGCTACTAATGATGTCCTGGATTCGTTGAGCGGCCTGCCCATCAACGATCCCTTTGCCACATTGAACACGCACACGCGGCCCCGTAGCCCCGTAGTACACATCAACAGCGAGCGCAGACATAAGCGGAGGAAGCTGGAACATGACGCCAGTGCGGCTAATGAGTACATGTGTTTTAAATACGGCCACAAGGGCCAGGTCGTGCCTGGGCGTCTGCGAATGGAAATCGTGAGCTGCGACGGCGGTGAGCATCGTAGGGACAGTCCACCTGGCCTGTACAAGGTTCAGAACGTGTTGAGGAACGACAAAAGTGTATACTGCAGCGAAAGTTCGCAGTGCAACCTTCTCCTGAAGCATATCGGGGAGGCCCCCTTTGCTCTAGAGAAGGTTGTCATTCGAGCACCGGACCGTGGATTTACGGCTCCGTATGTGTCTCCATTTCATGTTTGATCTTTGCTAACTTACCACCAGTGTGCAGGAAGGTCTCGTTTTCGTATCCATGTCTGCAGACGAACTCTTATCTGGTACCTCGGCCTACAACCTCCGCTACGATAGCTCACCGCCCACGTCTCCTGCTCCCAGCTCTCCGATCGAGGCCAACGAACAGATATCGTTGAGAGAAGCTCTCGAAGATCCTTCGGTGTGGCAGTACTCGCGTCAGGGCACTCAAGAAGACATGGAGGAGCGCATTGAGAATCTCCGTCTTCGCAGTGAAAGGCTGAACGCTGAATCTGAGAATTGGATATCGTCTTTGCGCTCTGACTCAGAACGACGGCGCATCATGCGCCAGATGGTAGAGCATGAAGACGAGGCAGACGGTGACAACTGTGATCACGTACCAGACAACACATACAGCGGTCCCGCTGGCTTTTCCGCACCCACTCCACCACCATTCACTGTTACTACCGCTGCCAGCGAGGATGAAGATTCAGGCTCGAATGAAGAGCAACCTAGCGCTGCTACCATGGCCGACCGCATCCGAAGAAATAACCGCTGGGAGGCCGACAGCGACGATGAGGATGAGATTATTCCGCGCCTCGGCCCACTGCGCCGCGCACCCGCTCTTGACTACAGCACGTACAGCGAATGGCGAGAGCGAAGAGAGCGCTATATCGAGCCCATCCGAGCCGCTCGTGTAGCTACACCTAGCCGTATCGAACCTTCCGAGCCCAACGCCGAGCCACTCATCCCTCCGCATGCCCGGTTTTTCATCGAAAAGAACAAGAACAAGATCACAATCAAGTTCCACCCTGCAATGTAAGTCTAAGCAGATGGTGCTAAAGGTCCCTCGGTTATTAACGCGCCTGGCAGTTCTGGTAGGAATGTCTTGCTCAAGCTCTGGAGCCCAAAACATGATGGCAATATCGATATTGAGAGCGTCCAGTTCTACGGATACTCTGGCCCTCGTTACTTTCCGGCTGTGCAACCTCGATGAGGAGTTGTCATTCTAGACCTCTGTTTCATGCTTGTTTGCTTAGGGTTTATGATGACATGGGTTACGAAGATCATACCTTCATCCTCGATAAATGTATCAGAGGAGCATGATCATCTAGATCATGGTCTTTTGGTAGTGTATGTAGTTGTTGATCAGCAATGATACCCGGAATACGACGCATGAACGTATGGCGTCAATATTGAGTGTCGGTTCGGAATGACAGTTGGGTAGCGAATACATTCCATCCATCACCCCTACTATTTCTGCAGCAAACTAAATGTGCTCGGGGGACTTCCACGCGTCGAGCTACGTTATTAGCGCAGTGATTTGTTACTGCCTGAAGACTGCGAAGGCAGTGATGTGCGGGGGTAAATGTAGCGCTGATTATGATATTCCCGAAAGAGTACATGCGCGAGATCCCCAACGGCGGAAAACCCGGATTCCCCCACTCAACTTCGGGTCACCTCCAACACCAGTCATTGCGGCCGTCGCATCTTAGCCACAGTAGCCACGAGATATAGTTGAGGGCCTGATGTTGCCATCTCCGGCCCCTTCGGTGTTGAGTGGTGATCTCCGAGGTTAAAGTCCGAGATGACCGTTCAGCGTGTCTTTCTCGCTCCCAATGTGGACTCTGCTTATCTCCAATTCCTGCATCAGACAACATGAAAAAACCGAGAATTCAGAGAAGACAACGAGCTGTTCTTTCGTGTAACGATTGCCGAAGAAGGAAGTTGAGATGCGACAGGAAACTACCTTGTGACAGATGCATCAAGGGTGGTATCGCAGAAGAATGCGCTTACGAGACAGATAACCAGACTCCTCCCTCGGATTGCTTACTTGAACGACCTTCCAAGAGACAAAGAGAGTCTGTACCCTGTGTAGCAGTTGCCAGGACTGAAGAGGCGCCGCGGTCGTACCTTGACGTTCCGAAACTGTTCAACCCATCGGAGTTCGCCAGATCGGACATAAAAGCTCAAGACCGAGTAAAGCATCTCGAACGACAAGTTGCCCTACTAGAGCAGCAATTGTTAGTCCAGAAGAGCGTTTCGCTAGAAGCATTACGCTTCACCGCAAGAACAACTGATACCTTGTCCGGTCCGACTTCTCCGAGAGGTTTTCTTAAGGGGCGTCATTATGGAAGCTTCTACTACGGACCTTCTTCACCGACATCAATAATGGCTTATGTGAGAGCACAATCAACACCGGGTTGTAGACTCCGCTGACTTGAACAGTTTCCAGAGCTTCGCGCATTCATGAAAAATGTCTACCACAACTCGACCGCTCAGCGATTAGCTCAAGACATGATGGCTGTTGGTAAAGCGACCAGCACCAACGGATCGTCATATCGGATTGTAACCGTTTCGAGCTTGAGAGACCTTCTTCCTGATCGATCGATTACTGATCGGCTGGTACAAAAGTATCTCAGTACCTTTGAGACAACCTACAGGATCTTGCACATACCAACGTTCCAGAATGCATACGAGCGATATTGGGACGTTGATAAGCCCGGTTCTACAGAAATGGATGCTGTCGTACTCTCGATATTAGCGTGTACGATCTGTATCTGTGCCAATGGAAGCCCACAGTATAGTCGCAACGGCTCAACGCTGCACACGCAGGCGGTCTTGTGGATGAAAGCTTGCGAAGCTTGGCTCAGGCGGCAGAGCAGCAAGCACCGAACACTCGCCTCACTCCAGGTGAGATGCTTGCGTTTGCTGGCCCTTGCAGCAACCTCACACAAGGCGAAAGATTACTATCACGAGGTACAAGCACATATGGGTATTATGATCTCCTGTGGAATGCACAGGGATCCAGTTCACTTTGGTGACCGCTGCTCTACATTCGAAGGAGAAATGCGGCGAAGGCTATGGGCGACATCTGTTAGTAACTTGTTTGCGTAAGGCAACGTGAGACCCATGCTGATTCGAATAACTTACTCAGGTGGAGATAGAACTACAAGCATCCATAGACAAAGGTAAAGGCGTCTTGAACGATGATGTAGCTTTCTAACGTCCTCACAGGTACTCCGTCAATGGTTTCCAGACTCGAAGCGGATTGTGCAGCACCTGGTAACTTCAATGATGTGCAACTATCTCCTAGCCTAGAGGAGCTTCCGCCATCAGAATCGGTGGAGGTATTTACCGACACGTCCTTCCTCTTCATCTCCACGAGATCGCTTAGTTTCCGTTCAAGTCTATGTGCTCTGACGAATAGCTTGCAGTCAAGGCTCGACTTCCAGGATGCCCTGTCACATGCAAACACTATCGAAGATTATATACAGAGTATCCCCGACTGGATTGATCCGGGATCTCTCCAGGCGCGCACACTTCTCGACCTCCAGCTTCGACAGCTGTTAGTGATCTTATACGCAGCCAAAATTGCTGATGTAGGAGTCACACTCAACACGGAGCATCGATACTCGATAATTGCACTGATGGGGGCCGCAGCTGCAACAACGGCTTTGCACACGGCTCTGACGGCATCTTCTAACCTCGCACTATGTTGCACCCGCAGCGACTACTATAGAGCCGCTCTACTGGTTTGTCATGTCGCTTGCCATGCGAATAAATTCAACGGCATGTTCCTTTCTCGCCGCTAGCGTATGCGGCTAACATCTGCGGCTAACATCAATCCAGATACCATGGTAGCGCAGGCTGCCAAGAGCACACTGGATAGTTGTGCACAGCAAGCACTTCGCCTCCAAGAAGAGAGGGTAGTACTGGTAGGTCGTGGAGGCCAGCAGCATTGGGTACTAAGTATGGATCGCCCCTGACACGCTTTCTATTTTCTATGAGACTCATGAGCGATATACAGGTGCTGCAGTTGGATTGGCCAGTGTGCAGTTTGAACCATCACATTCTGACGCGGTCAAGCTTCAGGCGATAGATCGCGTATCACGCTTGCTGTACAGGATGCTTTCTCGAAAGGATATTGGTGAAGTGCCTCCAGCCAATGAGGTAGGTTTTTGACAGTCCGGATAGCTCTGTCATGTTAACGCAAGATAGGTTCTACTTCAAGATGCACCACGCATAGCCAAACAGATCAATAGTCACCCCGGCTATTCCGCTGCAGCACTATCAACAGATTCTTTCGCTGACGTTGGGCTGCGCATTGATACCTTCGACTTCGGCGAGACATCAGAGTGGATGCTGGATGACTTCTGGTTCCTCAACGAGCCGTTTGGAAGCGAATGTCAGGCTAACCATTTGATTTGAGAAATAGTACAAAACATGGAAAACCTAGTGCATACGAGTGAACATTTGCATGTTTACGTCATGCAGGAGTCGTAAATACCATACAGAAATTCGCCGCGGCCCCATTGACGTTTGCCGTACAGCCGGGTAGTCTACGTTTCATGCAGTCTAAGGTCGCCCTTCTCCAGTTTTCTCTCCGCAAACTCGGCGCGTTCTGGAGCAATGACAAGCTTTCGGAAGATCGTCATGATCGCTCGGCTGCTCGGTACGGTTCACTTTGTCGGCGCCAAGCACCAATGATATCGAGCGATTGAGGCTCCACGACCATCGCGTGGCCCAGAGAAACCTTCACACAGCTTGAAGTGCTTGGCGCAGTCTAGATGTGCTGTTCCTGACACTTGACTATGAACTGCATGATAGGCAGGCGGCGTAAGATATGTCACCCTCCAATCGGCCCTTCTCTTCTCGGCGCTCTCATAGGTATCCTTTGAGGAACTTGTAGAATCTGCGCCAAACGTCGATAGTGTATAGCAACTCATCAAGTGCATGAGCGAACCCGGGTACGACGGCTTGAGAGTCTGGTACCTGCTCGCTCTACACAAACATGATCGGACATGGCGGATGCGATGCAGAACCTATGTGGTATAAGAGTCGTTGCGCTCGACATGTTTATTCTTCATCACAACAACAATCAGTCTGTCTTCATCTTCTCTACTACATACCCAGCCACTCTGAGCTCATTAAATTCACTTCCAACAAGTCGAATCTCAACCATTCAATATGCTCTTCACTAAGATCGCTTTCGTCTCCGCCCTCGCGGCCCTGACTGCTGCTCAAGACACCAGCTTTGACTTCAGCAACATCCCGGCTGAGTGCACCGATGTCTGCGGCCAAGTTGGTCAAGCCGTAAATGGCTGCAAGAACGACAGCAGTAAGTGTTGCATTATCCACCCAATTTGTTACAAACTGACCCTTCCACAGACGACAACTCATCCGAGGTCCTACAGTGTATCTGCACAGCCAACAACGCAAACACACTGATCCCAAACTGCGAAGCCTGCGTCAGACAGTACAACGACAACGACAACGATGACGACAGCGACCAGTACCGCCTCTTGACCGACTGCCAGTACACCACCACGACTGTTGCCGCAGGTGGTGCTGGTGCAGCTCAAACAACCGCTGTTGATACCAACACTGTCTCGGTCACCAACACAGTCTCTGTCACCAGCGTCCTTACCACTACCTCCGTTGCTATCATCGTCACTACCGGTAGCGATGGCGTGGTTGCTACTCGCACCGAGACCAACACCGACACTGTTGTCCCCACCCAGACCGACAACCCTGCTCCCATCAATACCGTTGGCGCTGCCATGGGTCTTGGTGCTCTCGGGTTCGCTCTTGGTATGTTGTAAATCGACAATATCACGACGAAATGTGGAATGGCTATTATGGACATGTGCCTAAACGATTATGAGGGAGGGGTGTCGAAGCTGTTGTAGCTTAGCTAATACCATTGTGGCTTGGAGAGTCCTCATGACTATAGATAGGAATACCATACACTTTACCTAATCTTGCCCTGTCAATATCATGCCTCTCAACGTTTGGTGCCGCTCTTGGGCAGTTTAGACAAGGAGACACCAGTGGTCCCGAGACATTTCTCGAGTCATTTGAAAATAGTAGAACGAATGGTGAAAAACCGATCACACGATAGCACGCAAAGAGTGAAAAGTGTAAGGATAGTGCCACTTCATTCATAGAAATCGTGTAGCAACGGCAGTCTACGCTGCGAAAAGTATGTACCGTGAAGATACTCAGAAGCGAATCAACAAGGTGTGAAGAAAGGTATCCATCAAGCATCATCCATCATCAAAAGAGTAACCCGTCAGCCAAATTCAAAGTAGAATCCCCGTCTTAAACTAACACTTAAGCAAAGTTGCTACCAGCAGTCTTCTTGCTGTTCGCAGCAATGCTAACGCTCTTGACAACGATGCTCTTACCACCGCTGCTGGTAATCTTGACATCAACGCTGTCCGCACCGAAACCAGCTGGGTTCTCGAAGTAGTTGTACTCCTTGCGAGTGGTGGCCTGCCATGTCGCACCTCCGTCGGTGGAGACCTCGAGCTTAGAGACGGGCATGTTGGAGTTCATGACTTGCATGCTGAACCAGAACTTGCTGGTTCCCTCCTTATTCTTGAGGACGAGGGGTGTGGTGATGCCACATGGTACGACGTCCCAGGAGATGGGGATGACGCCCTTGGAAGGCTCGGCAAGCTTGGCGAAGGCGTCAGGGTAGAGGTCGAGGTGGTTGGGTCCGCATCTAGGAATGAAGTTAGTATGATATTATAGCTAGCTTGTTCGTAGACATCACTTACCCAGGGCATTGGTCGGTAACCATTGCAGTGATCTTGTTTCCATCCGGACCTGTTACGCTAACGCAGACACCGCAGTTGCCGCCGTTGTCCCAGTTGGAATCGGAGAGCGCAGTACCGTAGATACCAGCGGGGATGGTGTAGCCAGTGAAGGAACACATGCCACCATCAGTGTTACCACCGTAGAAAGTGGCCTCGCCACGCTTGGAGCCTGCAGCTGAGCTGGCGTACTCATCGACGGTTGATGCCGGTTTGGAACCTGCCGGTGCCGGAGCAGCGGAGGTGGGTACAGCTGGAGCCTTGGATTCCGATGTGGGAACCATGGCGGCGGAGGATTGTGCGGCTTCGTAAGACTTGGAGGCTTCACTCTGGGGTACAGGTGTGTATGCCAGCGAAGAGTAGTCCAACAAAGTGGTCGGCGCGACGCTCATGGTAGGGTATGAGGGTGCGTTCGATGATGCCTCTGGCCTGAAGAGAGCAGAGGTGGAGAAGTTGCCAAAGTATCCACCTGTCGGGCGAACGGTGACTGTCGTGTAGATATCGGTGGTCCTCGTCGAGGTCGAAGTCTCATCGACGGCATCGGGAGTAGCAGCACCAGCAGGGACAGTGACATACACCTTCTCGTAAGTAGTAGTGTAGACAGTGCTCCTGGAAGAGCAAGCGCCAGACTGGCTGGCGGTAGCGTCCGCAACCAGGGCGGGCTTTGCAGTCTCGTAGACTGTCTCGTATGCGGTCGTAGTGACAGTCTTCTGTGTGCAGACTGACTCAGCAACAGCAACACCCGCGATGGGTAGGAGAGAGAAGAAAGTGGACTTCATGGTTTCTGGTGGATGCTTGATTAGACGATGGAAGGTGGATATGCAGTGACGGCTTGTTGGAAATGAGTGTGGAAGATCGTATCAACGACTTTTAGGAATGAATGGCAGCAGCTCAGCGGCTTGCGAAGAAAGAGTGACTGAAGTGATTGAAGTTCGACTTCGTGAGGAGAGTTTTTAGAGGCTTGAAACACTACCAAAGGGCGTACCCGCCCGACTAGATAAAGCCCTCAAATGACGCTGACATCTCATTTTACTTTACTAACCTAACGCAGCGCCACGCAGGAAGCCGACATGTGGAAATTTGCGCCCGGGAGGAATGGCAACAAGCTCATCTCAAGTTCAACTCCGGTGTCTGGACCCACCGAACACTGCAGAGAAGAGCCGGTCTCGAGCCTGCGCGCATCTCGCCTGTTGCCGGTCTTACCCCAGTGATATGCGTCCGTTGATAGACCGGCGTTTGGGGTTGAGCAGGTCTGAGTGCGTTTCAGAAAAAGCTTGTGTAATGCTTGGTATGATGGGTTGAAGGGATCGTGGGTGATGAGGTGCTAAGACGAAGGATGCGCTAAATGGAGATCAAACATGAACGAAATGAGAAGGCGGCAACACAACGAGCGAATTTGAGGCGCGCTGCCGAGAACCGAGTTGGCATGTCAAACACTGAAAGCGACGTTCTACGACTTTACACAGTCGCACGATGGTGCGCTGATGAAAGTGCATGCTGTGGTGATGTTGTTTGGACATGCGCTACTGTCTCGGCAACGAAGCCCTGGAGGCGTTTCAAGAAAACGTTTTGTGGCACTTCGGGTCTTCTTCGGTGGGGTAATACACATGGTCCCTAATTCAAAATCTAGAACCTGTCTATTACACAAAGATACCGAGAGTGGTCCGGTGATGGTCCGGTGGATATTGTCGATTCGGTAGATACCCGTGAAATTGTGAGCGACGAGACTCTCAAGTATGATTCCAACTTTCAGATCGTTACTTTCCTCGCCAAACCTCATTTGTAGACCACTAGTCAGAGCCGCAGTATCCACCCAACGACGGAACGGATGTAAGGATCTCCATGGGAGCCGCAATGTCGTCGCTGGAATGCCCGTCATCCTGGGATCAATCCGCTGTCATGTAGCCCGTTCGCCGGGATGACAACCTGTAGGTCAATGTGTCCAAATGCGTCATCTGCGCCGTAAGAAAGCTCCAATCGGAATGCCAGCTTACAAGAAATCGCTAGTGGCTATGACGAGCTTTTGTTTTGGCATTATATCCCTTCGCAAAGCACGGGACGATACCAGGGACGTCTCTCCAGCTCTTGGATCCCTCCTCAGCACTTCATGCAGCTCAGTTCCTTCACTAACGATCTTGATCGTATGTTTCAACGCTTGTCTCCAATTCTCGTCTGGTCGACCACAAATAGTCCGGCAGATATCTTGCGCTCGAGAGTATACTGATCCTTCTTGAGAGCTTGCTGTAATGTACTCATAACTCATCTCTAGACGACCGCTAAATATGCCCAATTTCATTCCGTTGTTGTTATTGCCGTCCGGAAATTCATTCCACAATAATGCAGAAATTGTTCATTCCTGGCCCGTCTTTAATCTTCTTCTTCTCGACCTTTGTGACTCTCGGCTCGTTCGTTAGGGTGAACAGGTAGTAACACAACTTGGAAGTGTTCTTGCTCATCTTCATCGTGAAACCCAAATCGCCCATAATTCGCAAGAGTAGCTGTTCATCAAGATAACGCGAGTTGTCGACACATGGTAGCGGTAGGACGAAGAACAATGCTGGGAAGAATGATTCTGAGGTTTCCGTTGGCACACTGCTCTTTCTGAAGAACTCTGTGATGCGTTTCAACATTTCCCCTCGACCAACAGCATCCGGTACGTAGTTGAGCACCAATGATAGGGAAATGATATCGAAGCGCTCGTCATCACACGTAGGAATTGGTCGCTCCATGAAATCTTGTTTTTCGATACCTGGACCTTGGCTGTTCAAATCGATCCTGGTCATGTCGATGGCGCTTGAGTACTTGGAGATCTCATTTTTGGTGGACAAAGCTCCAACCTCGAGACATCTGAGTTTGGCATTGCCAGTACTGCGCCGATCTCGTGCTTTCGGATCCAAGACCTTGGATTGCTGCAGCCATTCAACTAACAACTTGCTGGAGTCGCCTCCCCTGTCCTTCGCCTGGCCTTGCTTGCTTGCAGCCTGATAAGTCTTTATTCCTCCGTTCCGCTCGATAGCTCGTGCAGTCTCTTCTGCTAACTTCAAATCTCCTCTTTTTAAAGCTGCCGCATGTTCCTTCTGCAGTCGGTGATGAGTGCGGATGATAGTCCTGGAACGCTCAGAGGTCATCCGCTCTTTCGGTTTACTGATGGGTGGTCGGCCATGCGACAGAGTCTTTTGGCGCTTTTTGACGGCCATGACTGTTTTGGTGTTGCAGTCACATGGCCAAGGTAAAGTAATGGTTGGGAGGCGCCGAGAGTTCAGATGCAAGGATTTGGCGCTAGTGCGTTAGCGTGCTTTCTTCCCACAGACAACTTTCGCCTGGAGCAAAAACCACGACTTTTCGACTGCGACTCTCGACACTAACACCAGGACCAACTAAACCGCCAAAATGGGACCCAAGGCCGTATCCAAGAGTATGTCTACGCAAACATCACAACCGCGAAATCGAGGAGGACCGTACATGTCGTAAAGTGGCACCAGACCGTGGCAGCAGCCTGTCGGAAGGGGAACTTTGCGGATGCGCCTCGATTAGCTACCCTCATTTTGCGCTCATGGCTAACATCAATCGCAGCCCCTACCAAGACTGGCAAGCAGGCCAATGCTGCTGCTAAGGCCGCTCTCCGTGGCGTAAGCCTCCCTTGATCCTCTTGAGTCGTGTCAGAAACATACCTCTGACGGGCTGTACTTCTCGTGTGATGGGCACAATTAACGAGATGACAGTCGTATGCGAACAAGAAGCGCGCGATCAGGAAGAACACCAGCTTCCACCGGTATGCCCGATCCCACTACAACAAATTTTTGCCTGCTAACACATGCGCAGCCCCAAGACCCTCGAGCTGTCCCGCGCCGGCAAGTACCCTCGCAAGTCGGTCCCCCATGCCCCCCGCATGGACGCTGAGAAGGTTCTCATCCACCCTCTCAACACCGAGTCCGCCATGAAGAAGATTGAGGAGAACAACACCCTCGTCTTCATCTGCAACGTCAAGGCCAACAAGCGTCAAATCGCCGCCGCCCTCAAGAAGCAGTACGACGTCAGCTGCGTCAAGATCAACACCCTGATCCGCCCCGACGGCTCAAAGAAGGCTTTCTGCCGCCTCACCGCCGATGTCGACGCTCTCGACATTGCGGCTACCAAGCTCGCCATCGTTTAAAGAGGTGGTCTCTGTAAAAAGGGAAGGCATGGTTATGATGGGGTCTGGTTATACCCGGCAATTGAAAAGCGATGTGATATGCATGGCGGGCGTTCATGGGATAAACGTAGTCACGGTGACTCGAATGAATCAGATTTCCACATGACGCCAAGTTGGACTTGGTCCTTAACTATACCGCTACTTTTGACCTGTGATGCTTTGTGAGGCTTGTGTGGTGCGTTGTGATTTGGTTTGAAATGCAAGCTTTTGCTGGTCGTTGAATTGCACATTCTATAGAGACCATGTTACGTTTGGTATGTGTATTCGTCATGCATGTTATCTCCATACTTGCAACGCTATGCAAACGATATCTCCCGTCATACAGTGTTGTACAGATCATAAGTCGCCTCGTTATCATACACCCTTCCTCGTCACCTTTGTTCCGAGCGATCATATGCATATCCCTCTTCCCATTGACTTCCCTTCCCGTGATATGGTCTGTCTTCCTCTATCCCCTCAACCTCTCCAACTCCCGCAGCACAACCATGTTCGCATCCAAGAACCGGTCCACACATTGTCTCATACATGGTTCCTCGTATTTATCCAATTTTCCGTTCTTAACGGTCCCCGCGGGGATGCACTTGCGGAAACATGTGTCGGTCAAGGAGTGTATGGCTATATCGATCACGCAACAGGTTAGCTAATTGTTACATGGCGCGCGCGCTTGATCTGGAAAGTGGGTGTAGAAGAGAAAAGGCAACCCTGGGCTGCGAGACAGGATGGAAACCAAAGGTAACCCCAGGGTGATGTGATGTGAAGAGGAAGAGGAACCAGAACATACAAGATTGAATCCTAGCCTTCTGTCCCTCGTTCATGGCGAATTGCTGGAGTTCCTGCTTGTCGCGATCGGACAGCTTGCTCAGGTCCGCATTGGCGATGCCGCCGCCTAGAGAATCCATTATGTTTTTGTGGAGAATTGAATCGCGAGGCTCTTTTGGCGTGTGCCGTAAGGGTGTGTAGTGTGTGAAGGTGGACGTCGTGACGGCTTGCGCGGTGGCTGTAGTTTTTACTGGATTGACGTACTCGAAGCTTTGCGCATCGGAGGTTCTCAGGCGGAGGGACCGATTTAGTCTGGTTAGTCAGCTGAGTCGTTTTCCGCAACACGATTGTCTTCTGGGTACAATTTGGTTATTTTGAGAATTATTGCAAAAACCTTGAGACCATTTATTTGTTCACTTGAATGCGCGGGGGTGAAATGAGAGTCACGCAAGATGTTTGGCGGAAGCTCAACTTCTTGACTTTGGTATCTTCATCCTCATAACATGCTCTCGAACAACATGGCTGCCGTCCTCACTTCTTCGTACTATTCTTGGCCGATCGTACGAACCGGTTACCCTTGATTTGTCCACCATTACCCCGGGTGCGGGGGGAATGTCAACATAGAATAAGAAGTATGGCCAACTACCCTCCTTCTCAGACTTGAACACTCTAACCTTGGAGATCCATTTGCTACCACCCAACTGCCTCTTGTGTTGCATCAGAAAGTACCCAGCCCATCGTCCAACAGGGCTTCCCAGCAAGGCTTTCCCCGCATCCGTCTCCATGTCGAAATCATGTCCCGGCCAAACTTCCACATCCTCTTTCGGTGGATTCAGCGTGCCCAACGCACGTGCAATGTGTTGATTCGTCTCTTTGTTGATTATCATCGTAACGAATAGATATCTGATATTCTGTAAGCTCTCCACGTCACTGTGCACACGGTTCCAAAAGGCCCATGCGATATCCGAGACGCTGTGTATAGCGGGGAGTTCATCCATAAGAGCAGCGCGTTTCCAAAGACGACGAGCAGCTTTAGCGGCAGAAGAGAGATTGATAGCGTACACGACGCCCGCTTCTGCATTGACACCGATTGTGTGCTCAGCGCCGGTGACGCGATATTCCTTGTCGCAGACGTCGTATCGTTGATCGACTCTAAGAGGCATCTTGCCGTCATCGCCTTTCTTCACAGCTGGGCTGTCGTAATGCTCAATTAGGAAACATTGGTTTGGGCCACCCTAACTCTTGGGCTTGGTCGAGATGGCAAGGTCGCTGAAGGCCTTCTTCAGCATGTGTCCATTCGAGCTGTCAAAATTGCATTCGAGGTCTGCTTGTTTGGCGAGGGCATCCGTGGCATCGTTGTAACCCCACTCACGTAGCTTGTTTATGAGGTCGCCATCGAATGCGCTCTCTGCGCTGGCGCCTAGGTTGTAGAGAGCAGCGGCTTCAGCGTCGCTGGCTTTCATACCTTGAAGGAGCTTTGCGCCTCGGGCAACAGACAGTGTCCATGGGTTGTCATCGGTAGTCTTGACTGTGCCATTGAAATGATTGTTGTTGGCGAAAGTAGGGTGGCGTCCAGCGCTGGTAGTAGAGCTGGAAAGGGTGTTCTCGACGGCAAAGGCTAATGCGGATGTTGCGAACAACAGCAGGGATCTCACTGCAGACGACATGTAATGGGTGTATGGTCTGGGTGGGTCAGTTCAGCCGTGGATAGGATTACGGTAGGTGATCTAGATGAGTTAGTACAAGCAAGATCGCAAGCAAAAGTCAGTGCAGCCGCGAGTGAAAGAGGAATACGAGGCACGATTTAGCTTGAGCCAGGGTTGACTTCACTACAAGACTCTGGAGGACTCGGACTCACTGAATGATATACATTGTAGTGTGAGTAGCTGGTGCTGAAACAGCCTACCAAATGCAAACAAGAACGCCATGCTTATTACATCCGGGGATATCAACCCCTTTGCAAATTGAAAACAAACTATTAGACAACCTTTTTTTTCATCCAACATTGTCATGATCTCCACATCTTCGTTTCTAAGCCCCAATCATTTCCTTGGGGAGGCATGCAAAAACAGTACTGACAATGGCCATGAGAGTGCTGACGACAATCAACACCCAGTTCATCGTCTTCTCTCCGCTCGATATCTCTTTTCCAAACAACTTCAAGTGGAACGCCAACGGGAGGATGATACAAATGCTGAAGCAGGCGACACTGCCGAGAAGGGTCATGATGCGATCGAACGAAGGGAAAACGATGGCGATGATAACGAATACAAGGATGGTGACAATGCGTAGGGTGATCTTCAGCGCTCCTCGTGTAAGGCCACTCATGCCATCAATGGACGAGGACATGGCGAGAGAGCGCGTATCCAGACCGAAGAGAACCTCCAGCGTGCTGACGATAGGTCTTGCGTTGAGTGGGATCTTGGTTAATGGAATGATGGCGATACAGATGGCGATAAAGACCGATATGCCTGGTGGAAATCCAGGGGTAAGAAAGATGTTGCTCGTGACTTCCTCCCTCACACCGTCTCCAAACATGAGGATACCTGCGCAGGCCATACCGACATCGATGAGGTAGGTGAAAATATAGGTTACGTTGACTGCCTTCCTGTACTTGTATGGGTGTCGCATGTCACGGTAGATGTTTGGGAAGACAGAGTGGCCACCCCAGGGAGACATGAGCAGGCCGATAGAGAGCGGTACGGTAAGCCAGTTGTCAGGGAACAGGTACTGTGTCATGGGTTGACGGATTGAGCCGGGAGCGTCGGGCTTTGCAAGGCCATCGATCCAGATAGCGAGTGTGACTATTCTGCATTAGCTGATGTGGATGTATGCGTGCAGTGGTTGACTTACTTCCGAAGCAAGACATGACACCTAAGATGGATGTGAAGGACAAGAAGCGCAGGGGCAAGAAGCTCAGTGGTATCAAGATCAACCCACAGACGATCTTCCACTGGAAAACGTCCCAACCGGGAATGAGAGCATCCATGCTGTCGGCGAAAAGCACGACTAATGCAACGCATGCTGCAAGTAGCTCTAGGGAGAAAAGAATACTAGTAGCCACTCGTGCTTTGGTTCCAAAGGAGACATATGCAAGGTCAGCGAAGGTGATGAGTGAACCATCAACATCGAGACATTTGGCAAGCAGCTTTGCAGTATAACCAGTGACTACGGCGGACCACGCCAGGAAAAGCATGCCTATCAGCCATCCAGAGTACTTCAGCGCAAGTGGCAAGGTAAGCAGTCCAACACCGACCAAGACGTTGACCGAGTTGAATATCGTCTGTGGCAGGGTAGATTGACCGACGACTACGTTGATGATATGTCCGTCTTCTTCGACTTGCTTGACCAGCAGTGGCTCTCGTTCTTGTTCTGGCTCTGCAACGCCCTTCATTTGCTGCTCTGTGAAGAGTCGGCCAGCATGGCGCATGGACGACTCGTTGACGCGCGAACTCAGACTGCCGTATCCCGTGCCGTAGCTGGCCCCAAAAGGTGAGGATAGCGAAGGCTCAATCTGGAATATGCTCGACCCTCTTCCTCTCAAGCGCTGCTCGACGGTGTTGGGCAACAGCTGGGTCCGCTCCGTGGCGCCATTCTCCTCGTCCGTTATGGCATTATCGGATGCACGGCGTCCTCCTTCTTGCAGCGCCTGTCGCAGGGCCGACCGTTGGTCTGGTACTGGCGTCGGAAGCCCGCTGCGTGTGAAGTCGGACTCTTCGGTGTCGTCGCCGTCTTCGTCTTCGAGACGGAACGAGGGTCGCACGGGGGTGATCTCAAAGAAGCCTGCTGCACGCTGCCACGATCGCGCAAAGTTGTTGATGCTGTTGACGCCTCCGACTTCGCCCAATGCGCTGAATTGCTGTCCTACTGAAGACCTGAGGTTGTTTTTGTTAGTCGTCGTTCACTCGCGAAACGCGCCATGAGCTCACCTCCGCCTGCGCAGTTCGCCAACTGTGCCGGTCCACCTGCCCGTGCCGGCATTGCTCTCCCCGCTCGGTCGTCTCGAGAGCTCGTCCCATTGTATGTGGCTCTCTGTGTCTGAATCCATGGATGGGCGGTTCCCCGACTCGTAAGCATCCCAGGCGGATGGCTGCTTCCCTCTGTTATCCATGGTGAGTAGTGACAGTCACGGCAGACAGAGAAGGCACGACCAAAAGGTGCATGTGCATGTGCAGCAGGACAGGTGATGGGAAGTATAAAATCCGTTGATTCAAACCCTGCAGGGAGGCGGGAGCTACTTGAGTCGAAAGCTGGTTATCGTCGGGACGAGATTGCGCCTTGTGGATTGCGGATGATAGCCGCTATCCATGACCGTCCTGATTATATAAAGAAGCGCCGAGCATGGCACTTCTCCCATAGAAAGACGGAGAAGCGCAAGATGGCTATCACGAGGATATCATGCGGCCCCGCAGGTCTGCCGTCATAGCTGCCCATAGCCGGGGAGCTACCCAAGGCACGAGTCTGATAACGGGCCATTGCAGCTGCTTCATGCCCGTTGCCCGCTTAGTGGCCCTGCAAGCGAGCCTGTGTCAGCCTCCTGTTCGCGCGCCATGGCGAGTGTGCTGCCTGAGGAGTGCTGCACAGTCATCAACAAATAAATCCACATCAGCCCGGTTGGTCGTCTCTTCACTCAAGCATCATCGAAAAGCGGAGGCGCGCAGCAGTAAAGGCCGCCGCATAGCACGCTCTCCACCCTCCTCCCGCCGCCAGTCGGCAGCTACGTCGCTTGTTCTTGCCCCTCGCTGAACAAGAAAATCTCTCGACCCCACCAACACCAAACTCTCAACTCTCGACATCACCGCCGCGACCATGGCGCCCGGGCAGAACGAGCAGCCCAATGAGGCTGAAAAGAACATTGAGATCTGGAAGGTCAAGAAGCTGATCAAGCGTCTTGAAGCCGCTCGTGGAAATGGAACCTCCATGATTTCGCTCATCATCCGTACGTGACGCCTGCTCACCTGCCGACGCGCCTCCGACTGACCACATGTAGCGCCCAAGGATCAGGTTTCCCGCGCTGCGAAGATGTTGGCTGAAGAATTTGTGCGTTTTCCACCCGCAGCTGTGCCATGGCCAGAACTAATTTTCCCAGGGTACTGCCTCCAACATCAAGTCGCGCGTCAACCGTCTTTCCGTCCTGTCGGCTATTACCTCCACCCAGCAGCGTCTCAAGCTCTACTCCAAGGTCCCACCCAATGGCCTTGTCGTCTACTGTGGCGAAATCATCACCGCTGAAGGCAAGGAGCGCAAGATCAACATCGACTTCGAACCCTTCAAGCCCATCAACACGTCGCTATACCTTTGCGACAACAAATTTCACACCGAGGCATTGAGCGAGCTGCTCGAGTCGGACCAGAAGTTCGGTTTCATCATCATGGACGGAAACGGTGCGCTCTTCGGCACTCTGTCAGGAAACACCCGTGAGATTGTCCACAAGTAAGTGCGACCAAGATGCCTCGGCATGCACGAAACTAACAGGTGTAGGTTCTCCGTCGATCTTCCCAAGAAGCACGGCCGTGGTGGTCAATCCGCTCTGCGTTTCGCTCGTCTGCGTGAAGAAAAGCGCCACAACTACGTCCGCAAGGTCGCTGAACTGGCGGTACAAAACTTCATCACCGCCGACAAGGTCAACGTAGCTGGTATCATTCTCGCTGGTTCCGCCGATTTCAAGAACGATCTCAACCAGTCCGATCTTTTCGACAACCGTCTTCAGTCCAAGGTCATCAAGGTCGTCGACGTATCTTATGGAGGCGAGAACGGTTTCAACCAGGCTATAGAGTTGGCTGGTGAGACTCTCAGCAATGTCAAGTTCATCCAGGAGAAGAAGCTCATCAACGAGTACTTCGACCACATCTCCAAGGACTCTGGCAAGGTCTGTTACGGTATCGACGACACCCTCAAGGCTCTGGAGGCTGGTGCTGCCGAGACTTTGATCGTCTTCGAGAACTTGGAGATTACCCGTTGGGTCCTCAAGAGCTCCGAGGGTTCTGAGATCATTCTTCACACTACCAAGTTGCAAGAAGAAGACCGAAGCATCTTCATGGACAAGGAAACCGGTCAGGAGATGGAAGTCATCGACCAAGGCTCCATGCTTGAGTGGCTCGCCGAGAAGTACCGCGACTTTGGTGCCAACCTTGAATTTGTTTCCGACCGTTCTTCCGAGGGTAACCAGTTCGTCAAGGGCTTTGGTGGCATCGGCGCCATCCTCCGCTACGCCCTCAACTTCGAGCAACTCGCCGACTTCGACGACGATGAAGACGAATTCTACGATGATTGACGGTTGTGCGCCCTCGCTGACTGCGAGGTAGCGTCCCCACTCCTTTCGAGTGACGGAACGTCCGCTACCCGCGTGATAAGTCAAAATGACGTGTCCAAGATCAAGGCCGGAGCAGTCGAAGCAAAGACGCTTCGCCTTTCCAGATTGTAAGATGGGAGTGCCTACGGAGGGTTTGCAATGTACGTAGGATATTTCCAGCAACAACAACTTTCACTAATTTTGTCAAGGTCGACCAACACCATTCTTACCACGACCCGCTCTCGCTTGCACGGAGAGGCAGCAGCCTCATACAGGCTTGACCTCTCCAAACCTCGGTCCGAAAAGCTCTATCTTAGCTATAATAAGGACTAGAAAGCATAGGGATCCCGAAGGATGGCTATCGTCAATTGTCGATTGCGAACCTCTTGAAAAGTAGTCCTTGACGGAAGAAGGATAGGCAGATTGTTCGCTCAGAAATGCGTCAGCTCGTCGCTCGCTCAACTCCAGCTGAATGAAAAATTGTTTTATAAATCACTTGATTACTATGAAGATACGTTCGATGCTTTGTATTGTGCACATGATTCGCCACATGCACAGGCTCCAGAGCCTCGATACTTACAGTAGGGCGTAACACGCCCCATGGTGTACAAGTTGCAAGTTAGCCTTTGCTTTTGCTAGTATAGCGCCGATACCGGGTTCCGACGTCATTCCGAGATTTAATGAACTATTCGTTCAATTAATTCGTTTATTGAGTTACCTTCAACATTCCAAAAGCGACGACTAGACATGGCAGAAGAACAGAAGCCAACCGTGGCATTCTTAGGTCCGGAGGGCAGCTATACACACCAGGTGAGTTTCTCTACAGACTTACAAAAGCCATAATTAAGATTTCCCGTCACTATTCTGTGTTCCCATGCAGGCATGACTCGCCGCATCTTCATCACCGTACTATGAGCGATGTCTACACCCGACATTTCCCTCCAAAACAAGATCATAATTTGTTCCTTTCTTCCGTAAAATGAAATCAATCACTCAACGCACACCGCGCACACCATATACATCTAACAGCTTCGCAGGCAGCCCTAGACGCCTTCCCCCCATCAACGAACCAAGTTTCCCTCACACCTGAAATTACAATCGAAGACGTCTTCTCGGCCGTCCAATCCGGGACCGCATACCGGGGCGTCGTACCCTTTGAAAACAGCAGCAATGGTAGTGTAGTCTTTACCCTCGACCTCTTCGCCGACCTCAACAACAAATATCCCGATATCCTCGTCTGCGGCGAAGCTTATGTGCATGTCAAACACTGTTTGTTGGGTTACTCATCGAACCCCACTACTACCCCGGATTACTCCAACATCAAAAAACTCTACTCACACCCCCAGGCCTGGGGTCAGTGTAAAAATTTCCTCACGCGTTACCTCAAGACGGCTGAACGACACGACGTGAGTTCTACGAGTAAAGCAGCAGAAATTGCGAGTAAAGACAAGAGTGGCGAGTCTGCTGCGTTGTCTAGTTTCATCGCTGCGGAGCTGTTTGGCCTGAACGTGTTGGCCAAAGAGATCAACGACGAGAAGGGGAATAGTACAAGGTTCTTCGTCATTCGCAAAAAGGACGACAAGACGACATCAACCAGTTCAACTGCCAAGACGAGTTCGAACAGAGATAATTGGAAATCTCTCATCACGTTTACGATTGAGCACTCCAACCCGGGTGCGCTGGCAAATTGTCTCACAGTCTTCTCGTCTCATGGAATCAACCTGACGAGTATAAATACACGACCGAGTGGCGTGAGAAACTGGCATTATGTCTTCTTTGTGGAATTCAAAGGGAGGAAGACGGAGGATGGGCAAGGGGAGGTGAATGCGGCATTGAGGGAATTGGATCAGGTTTGTAGGGGGTGGAGATGGTTGGGGAGTTGGGAGAACAGGTTGATTGAGGAGGAAGGGGTTCGGTGAGGTCTCTTATTGAGATGCAGCCATTAAGCAACGTGCAGATCACGATTACACAACTTCGGACTGCATAACCGCATGAAAAAGCTCACTTCCATATTCATCGCTCGTGAATCAACACCCTAGTCCACCAGGATCATAGCCCAGTGTAAATCTAGTTTCTCCTTTTACAACTATCTCAGTGATATCCTCTTTGCATGTCCATCCTCGCACTCCAAACCTGACACGACGGACGCCTACTTTGTCCGGTCAGGGAGCTCCTTGGGTGCCCTCCACTCCTTGACATAGGGCAAGAAGTCAGGCTGACCAGGGATGTACTTCCTCAAGACCTCGGGGACAACGAAGCCTTCAGGTGTCTGGTAGTTCTCGAGGATACAGCAGAGTGTTCGTTCGGTTGCGCAAACTAAGTACAGAAATGTGTTAGCTTTCATGAATTCCCATCCAAACCATGGGAAGGCTAGAGCAACAGAAATGAACTTACGAGTGCCGTTGAGTGCGTGAACGTACTCTTTACGGGTAGCGTTCAACTTCTTAATTCCATGTCTAATCTCCAGCTCGCGAGTCTGGTAGTCAGTGCAGTTGGAAATGGAGACAAGTTCCTTGTACTCTCCACCACCAGTGACAGGGAACCAAGCCTCTAGATCGCGCTTCATGCTCGCAGCATTGTTCAATGCACCCGAGACAATAGCAACGACCTGGTAAGGCAGACCCAGACTCTGGTAGAACTCTTCCGAGTTGGCCAGCATCTCGTCGAATGCTTCCCATGACTTCTCAGGGTTTGTGAGGAGGAATTGCTCAACCTTTTCGAACTGGTGTATCCGGAAGATTCCCCAAGCGTCTTTGCCGTGCGAACCGGCTTCTTTTCGGAAGTTTGTTGAGTAACCGGCGTACTTGATGGGTAGCTCTTTGTCGTGTAGCCACTCCTCTGAGTGAAGCGCGGAGATGGGTTGTTCTGAAGTGGCAATAAGGTACTTGTCGGTCTCAGGCTTGTCTTTGCTCTCGGTGACCTTGTAAAGCTCCTCGTCGAAGTCAGAAAGTTGCGCTGTCTTGGCCATCTGATCGCGGAGCATGAAGAAGGGCGGTTGGTTGGGTGTGAATCCTTTGCTGAACTATGGGATTATCGAGTCAGTACAGTGCTCCTCAGAACTTGGCTCTCTGCATACATACCAGAAATTCCAGGCCGTAATTGATCAGCGCTTGGTTAAGGAAGACACCGTATCCAGTCAGACAGTATCCTCTGTGACCAACAATTTTGGTACCCCTCTCCGGGTCATATCCATTCAACCGCGCAAGTACGCCGTGGTGTGGGATGCCATCTTGCTTGAACTCGGCCTTCCTTCCTTCGGGGGCCCACGTCTTCTGAACCGCGTTGTTGTCCTCGTTATCACTAACTGGGACGTCCTTGTACACGTAGTTTCCGACCGTCTTCGCCTTTGCGTGCAGCTTCGCCAATTTCTCCGCAGCCTCGGTCTCCTTCTCCTTCTTCTCAGCCTCCAGTTTCTTCTTCTCCTCGAGTAACTCTGAAGCGTCTTCCTTGGCCTTCTTCTTAGCACCAATGTTCTTCTGGACCGCGTTTATCTTGGAGCCGAACTGAGTGGCATCGTATTGTGTGCGACGGTGGTCTTCAAAGTCGGCGATGATCTCGTCGACGATTTCTACGGGGGCGCATCGCTTCCTCTGGGACTCGCGGATTTTCTGTTCGTAGGATTAACATGTACACAAGATTGAAGGTCGCGAGAGACGGAGTTGAGGAACACTTACTTCTGGGTCGCCACCGCGCTCCTTGATGAAGTCGTTTCTGTATAGACACACATGTCAGCCATTATTCTTTTTTACCATGCCACCTCCCCTGATCTCGCTCTGCGCCCTCCATGTCTACCACTTCCAAGTCCAGCCCCTCCAACCCAAATTCTAGCGCGCGTCCAAGCAACCAACACTCTTTGCCTGTAAAATAAAAAGCAACATACATATCGAGCATCTTCACTGTTTCTCAGCGAGTATAGGCTGGGCAGAATTGATCGCGTGTGGTCGTGTAGTCTCGTGTCGAGAAGATGTTCAAAACGCGGGACTCATCAGTGTCCCGCACCGCACTCAAACACCGACAGGGATTAGATTGAGAGGCCCGCACTAGATCGAAAAGGGACAGGGCTTGGCGCTTACCACTTTGGCCAGGCTGCACGGGAATTGGAAGTACTGCACTCGACAGATGTACTGCAAACTTGCCTCTTTGGGTAGGAAAGGTAAGTAATGTGGGGACGAGAGTTCCAGGTAGATCTATATATTTGAGATGGTATGGCACTGAATCTCAACTTCGTGAAGACTGAGAAGAGCCAAAACACGTACTGCAGCATTTGGGAGCATCAAAGCGCAAACTACCAAATACAGTAGGCTGCACAGACTGCACACAATTGCCGTTGAAATCAGTGGCTTTTCCGTCAAAGCTTCAGAGCTTCCTAATCAAGGTCTGTGGGTAGGATGGTGGGTGGTGGTCGGTGCATCCAAGCCAGGCAAACCAATGTGGAGCAGCTTTTGCCAGTCGAGAATGCAGGGTCTACACAAATATGTCTACGAGCGGTCATGTACACACCAACAAGTCGTACACCAACGTATGTCGTCTATTGTTGAAAGTAACATAACGTGATACGTAGTACTACAGCCGTGAAACATCGTAATCGAACCCCAGAATACCAGATATGACGCCGTTACACCGCCGCTTACACCATTACGCCAGTACATACTAATGCCTTCCGCATGGATAGGCGAGAACCACAACCCGTTAATGAGATGTCGTTCGCAAAAAAACCAGCCACTGTCTATGCCATCTACACCAAACCAGATGAAAGTACCCCTTCTCTTATTCACCCGTGGACGTCTTCTTAAGCATATTGATCAAATGATCAAATGGATGCTTCAAGAAGTGTGAGCTGCTCCACCGCTTCTTCTCCTTGTCCTTGCGCTCCTGCTGGAGGGCTGGGTACTTGTCCACGCTGACGCCTTGGTAGAAGCACTCATATCAGTCAAGAATCTTGCAATTACATGACCGTACACTTGCTGCCGCCAGCGGGCTCACCAGGATTCTGAGACCGCTCCACCTCGGCAATTATGAGTTCGAAGGCCTTTTGTACGTTCTCGTTGTAGCGCGCGCTGGCTTCGGTCCAGGCACATTTGAACTCTGCAGCGAGGGCGCGACCATCTTCGGGCGTAACTTGGCGTTGTTCGGGGCGCAGATCAGACTTGTTGCCTACAATAACGAGAGGAACCCACTCGACAGCCTAGTAGGAATCTTGGTTAGGCAGTGGCGCTGAGAGAGTCACATGTCTACTTACCAGGTGATTCAAGATCTTATCGCGAATGATGCGCGCCATCTCGAAGCTCTGCTTGGAAGCGACCGAGTAGACAATCATGTAGCCATGAATGCCAATAAAGTGCTTCGAGTTGAGTATACTGTATTCATCCTGGAGAGCAATACCCGAGTCAGCGGGTTCCTCAAAAGAGCCTCAACCGTCGAGTTGAGGCATACAGCGAGGCGTGCACAGCTGGGGGACGCGCGTGAAGCATGGCGAAGGTGGGGCGTGGACCTGGGCGTTGCTTCGCGACGCGGGGGAAAAGAAAACCTCATGTACCTGACCAGCCGTATCGATAATCTCAGTCGCATAGTCCTGGTTCTTGTACTTGATCATCTTGCTAAAAGTATTCTCGATAGTCGGGTAGTAGCTGTCGACAAAGTGCCCATCGACAAATTGCACCGTCATACTCGACTTGCCTGTCGATTGTTGGGTCAGCATGTTGTTTGCTGCTACTTGCATGTGAAGGCAAGCTTGCGCAAGCTGCACTCAACAATCACATACCGACGGCTCTGCTGCCAACGATGGCCACCTTTCTCTGCTTTGGTGGGGGTGCCATTTTCTTGCTGTTGCTGTTGCTGGGTTTGGTAGGAGGTCGTGAGGAAGCTGAACGACTCGCCAGGTTTGAAGTTTGGTTGTCTCAGTTGACCGCTGAGACGTAGCTGCCTAGGTTGCGTTTGGTCGTCCGGACCTGCCAATTGCCTGTACGAGCTAGCTCCCAGCCCGGAATGACGCCGTCTAGCTGCAGGTGATGGATGCGCGTGTGGGACGAACAAGCTGGGTCACTGGCCCAAGCGCTGTAGCTGCTGTTAAGAAGATCGAGATGCTGGCTTCGGCAAGAGTCGTAGGTAGAGAGTGGACGCGGCTCAGGAAGAAAAAAAAGTCCCCGACCGCGTGTTGATGCCGTCATGTCTGCCGGCTCATCTCTCGATATAGCACCTGCATATCAAAGTTGGGCAACTATGATATATCGCTTTGGGCATGGCACCGAACGAGTGGTATTGGGTTCCCGAGTTCTAGCCATCCAGCCCGAACAGTGCACATGGAAGCCGGCGAATCCAGAGCTTCTCGAAGCATTGCTTTACGTACTGCCAATCGTCTCGAGTTTAGCGCGAAGCTGTCTAGCACACCACCCGCATACAAAACAATTCACCAACAACCACCGAAAGCGACAAGAACGTCCGAAATGTCAGAAACTCTTGCTGCCCTTCCCGACGCCCCGAGAATATAACTTAACCGAAATGATGTCGGGCGTTCTTGACTCAAGGCGGAACAATCACATGCGGGTTTCTGCCAAAGTGGAAAAAAGTTGCTTGCGCCGGATATTACACAGCCGCTGCATGGAACTTCTATAGAAGAAATCTCGTAAATTGTCCCGACGGCAAAGACCCTCCACTTACCGCCAGTTGCGTCACTTCAACCGGCTTTCTGGGACGGGTGCAGCCTTACGAACGTGGTGCGTGCGTGGTTACAAGCCTTCATTTAGCCTTTACTGCCTACGCGATGGGATACGAGCGTAAAACAGTGACGGATAGACGATATTTATCTCGATTAGTGTCATTTCGTATACCGTTAATGCAATCGCTGCCGGAACTTCCTAAGCCTACAAAGCCTCAATGCACGACCGTACTATCCATCTTTTCTTCCAAAGTGCTAGGGTATCGTGATCTTCAAGACAATACAAGTGAATCGTTCCCAGTGATGACTGCATATCGTAATTCAGGGTATCATGCCATAGTCGCCAGAGATCAAACCAGTAAGAAGCCCGCCATGACGGAGGGCACAAGTCTTTGCCTGATAGCAAACACTCTGAGAATAATTCAAGTAGAGATTGGGTACATGGGTCAATGTTGAACCAATGCCCAAGCTTGCACCCTAAAGTCAAGCTTCCATCAATCCGCAAGATTATCAAACACCCGCATTCTGCAGCTTTTCCACGACGAGCATGAGGCGCGCGGTATAGGTTTGCAAGGCCTCTTGACCCTCTGCTCCATCAAAGTCTTCCTTCTGATCAACGTGCTGATGCACACGAACAAAGTCTTTGATGCTATCAACCAGCGTATCGAGTTGCTTGTTCGGTAGCAGCATCCGGACTTTTGTCCTTATGATTTCGTTGAGACTCAGGTTACCAATAAGGACACCAAGATACCCGGTGGCCACACCAGAGCGAGATTCTTCCACAGAAGCAGCCTGTGAAGTAGTTAGCATCGCTGAACCATCACCGTGTAAAAAGAACATACTTGAGAAGCACGCTTCAGTCCGTCCAGGAAGATTTCGACCAATGTGTCAGTCTCATCAGCGACGTTCAGCCTCATCTGATCACTCAACTCTGCAAGATTGATGGCGGCACCCAAACTCAAAATCAAACTATCCAAGATCTCTGTTCGCTCCTCTAGTGCCAAATCTGTGTTGATTGAACGAAACTTTTCAACAATGGATTGCATGAGTGGCTGGACAAAGGCCTTCGTTGAAAATGGCTGGCATGCTTTTGGTTTATTGTTGGTCAGATTCATGCAGAGCTTAACGGCAAGCATGGTCGATGCTGCAGCATCAGGCTGAAAGAACCTAGGCATGAACTTCGCAATCTGTTGAAGCACACCAGTTGACCAAGTAGCTTGTATTTGTCTCGTAGCTGAGGTCGACTCCAGTATCGAAAGTACCATCTCCAGTGTCGCATCGTCTTCTGGCGCTGCATTGTTCGACTCCGACCGATTGTTCGAAGCTGAAGCAATCTCAACAATCTGAGATATCATTGTTTGGTTGAGAAGCATATCGGCGTTGCCAGCCTTCCGCAGCCCAATAATGAGCAACTCAATGGCTTTCAACGCCACTAGCTGTGGTGATACCTTCTCTGTTACTGTGGGCGACCAGATATAGGATTGCTGGACCAAGGCGCGAAATGAAAAGACCGACTCTTTCGCGATCTTTGACAGGTTTGTCTTCCGATCTTTTGCAATCTCCTTGATGTCTGCACCGTTTCCAGCAAGTTTGATTAGGTTGGCGAGACTCCCAGTCTCATAGAGCTGGCCCAGGACAGAATAGGCAGGGTTGGTACGCAAGACGAAGACAGTTGCGACAGCAGCGACAAAGTCGAAGACGATCTCGCAGCTGACAGAGATGTTCTGGAAGAACTGGTGGGCAAGAGCTGAGTCGAGAAGCTGATCGCAAAACTTCTCGTCCGCCATCTTGGTGCATAGATCAATCATGGCACTCCGTCGTATGTTTTTACTGGTGGTGGCGGACGTCTCTTCAATCATCATCTCCGCTTCATGATGGAGGACCGCGTTGCGGCCCCGAGTCCTAAGCTCATGCACCTGCTGAGCCTGCTGAGCCTGTGCTTGGCTGTTCTCTGCGTCACTCTCAGATACAGATCTAGTCTCCCTTTGGGACTGCGACCCAAAGCCGTCGTCCAAATCCATCGATATAAGTAAATCATCTTCCGGGTTGTCTTCCCTCAGATATGACCGTGCCATGGCGTAAGTAAGTTTTGGGCGCACACCAAATCCAGATGTGTTTTGTGATGTCTGAGAGTCAAGCTTGCCCTGATTGTCCACGTCCATGTTGTCGGGATGCGTACTTGAGAGATGGGCTTCTCCGGAATTTTGCAAAGGTTTCCCCGCAGTCCAAGAATGATTTGAGCTTACTTCCGAGTCGTCTCCAACCTGGCTGCTACCTTCTTCATCGCCATCTGAGCTGGGCTCTGATGGTTTGAGGGTGTCGATGAGTCTAGTCTTACGAGCCTTAGCACTATGTGTGACATCAGATTTTGACCTAGCTAAGCTGCCGATGAGTGATCTTGGCTTGCGATCCGTCAACTGTAAATTGGAGAAGTTTGGCATGGGCGTAGTCGAGGATGAGGAGTCGCTTAGCAAACCACCAAAAAGGTCCTTTTGTCGCGGTGTTATCGAGCCTGGCATGGAGGCTTTCGACTGACGAACAGGCGTAGTCAAAGGATCTGGTATGTCATACATAGTCTCATCTTCTAACTCGGCAACTTCAAAGACTTCCTTAACAGGAGATGGCTTCGATGGTTGGCGGCCGGGAATCATGCCGTTGAGCATAGCCGGAGAGGATTGACCCTTGGTAATCGTTCGCGACGCTAACACAGGTACAGTACGCTGCCTTGTCTTTGTCGGTTTGTTGATTGTTGGCGCCGGTGGCTGCACTTTCTGAGTCGAGCTTGTGATGGGCCGGTTCGATGACCCATGTCCCGGTGAAGCGCCATCTTCGTTCTTTTGGTACTTCCGACTCCGCTGAGGCACCGACTGTTCAGGCTTCTGGTGCAATATTGGTCGATTTACGGTGGCAGTGGAAGAAGCGGACCCTTGGCGCTTGCGTTTTTTGGAGGCATTGGAATCGTCAGACTCGACCGTATCCTTGTGAGATGCTTCAGAAGTTGTTTTGAACTTTTTGGCAGCCTCTTTTGGTCCTCTCGATTGAGCTTGGCGTGAGATCTTTTTGACTGTTGGTGGTGCCTCTTCGTCCGACATTGGAACGTCGAATACGGCCAGATCGTCCACTGGTTTGGCTGGCGCCTTCCCTAACGCTTTCTTCGCGGGTAGTGCCGGTGCTGTCCTTGCAGTCTTCTGAACCTTGACCTGTGATGACGCAACCGTCGCTGCCTCGGAAGGTGCTTTCGCCTTGACCACCGGCCTGTGTGATAACTTGTGGTCTTGTGTGGTCTGTTTCGGTGCTTGTACGAGCTTAGGCGTTTTTTCGCGTATTGTTCGAGGAACGGCCGGATTGGAGGATGAAGGCAGCGACGATTGTACGGGCTTTGGAATATGCGCGGGCGTAGTAAGCTTCTTCCTCTTCACAGCGATAGGCTTTGCGTCATCGGGCTTGCGCAACGGCTGTGCGGCTCTCGCTGGCTTCTTGGATTCTTTGAGAGAATCATCTTTGGAGGAAGCTGTAGCTTCTAAGTCCACTTCGGGTATGCGACGCTTCGGTATTATTTTCTTCGTAGGCTTCGGACGCGACAAGAATTCGTCTTCAGAGGGCACGTCGAAGATGTCGAGTCCGTCGGTCTTTGCGCGCGCAATTTCGGAACCAGATCCACCATTCAATTCGCTTCCAGCTTTGTTCAGCGAGCGGTTTGAGGCTGCCGTATGTTTCTGCGGCCGCTCTGGCGATGGAGGCGCATCGTCGTTGGAATCGGGTAGAGGTGGCGGGAGGGCGGAGTGACGCGACGCTTTGCCATAAACCCTCTTGCGACGGTCGTTAGAGGTGAAATTGGCGAACATGGTCGTGGCCATGTTTGTGAGAAGATGTGTTGTGGCGACGCTGCACAAGGTGACTTAGACGCGCATCTCGCAGGTAGCAGTACCTGGGTGAACCGTGGGTGATGTCTCGGCAATCACTATTCACGCTCACATTGCACGAGCCGACGCGTTAATTCACCGCAAACATCACCTCATTGCAACGACATCATCACCATCACGGTCAAACGCTCAAAGCGGAGGTTTGCATGGTGGCTGGTGATCGAAGCAGGGACCCGAACGCAAGGCACGCTAAACAGCGGGGCAAGGGTTCCTCCTTCCCAAACAGAGTGAAGGACTTCGCCGACGGTCACGAGCCTAGACTGTTACTCCACCTACGCTTCAGCTCCTCTTTCTTGTCTCTTATCTAGAGGTCATATCTGTTAATAAAAGTCCCCTCTATCGTTTGGTTTTACTCTTGAACCGACCCCATTCTCGCTACCCCACCAATATCAAATTACCTTCCAACACCACAAATCTTTAGTCCCATATTCAACCTCAGGTGAGCCCTTTTCAGCACACATCAGTTCTCATGGCAACTTCCGTGCAAACCCTGTCCATGGATTTGTGACATGTCTTTAGATTTGAACATGGCAAAAATTCGAATGAATGACCAGCTGACTGTAATCAGCTTCTTACCTCAAACATGTCTTCCGACTCTCAACCTCCCTCAGAATGCTTGGGACCTGAATATCGTCCCGCGGCCCTGAAGCCAACAGCTACCGTCTCAACTCCTCTCAAACAGAAGAATGTCCATATTCTACCCCAGTCCCCTCAGTTGATAGCATTGCTCACGTAAGAGCCCCATAAACCATGGTCACTACCATAAAAGGGTAATTGACTAACAAGATCAAAGCATGATACGAGATCGCAACACTGGCCGCGCAGACTTTATCTTCTACAGCAACCGCATTATCCGTCTGCTTGTGGAGGAAGGCCTCAACCACCTGCCAACAGAGTCGCAGGAGATCACTACCCCTGTAGGCCGCACCTACTCTGGTGTCAAGTTCGAAGGCAAGATCTGTGGTGTCTCGATCATGCGTGCGGGAGAGTCCATGGAGCAAGGATTGAGGGACTGCTGTAGAAGTGTACGCATTGGAAAGATCTTGATCCAGAGGGATGAGGAGACCAGCAAGCCGAAACTGTACTACGACAAGCTACCCGAAGACATCAGCGATAGGTGGGTCTTGTTGCTGGATCCCATGCTGGCCACTGGTGGTTCAGCACTTATGGCTATTGATGTGCTCAAGTCGCGGGGCGTACCAGAGGAGCACATCCTATTCCTCAACCTCATTGCCAGTCCAGAAGGCGCGCAGAACCTTGCGGATAAGTTTCCCAAGGTGAGGGTAGTTACCGCATTTGTTGATGCGGGTTTGGACGAGAAGAAGTAAGCTGCCCTTACCCAATCTGAGTATCCGTTGCTAACAAGACGTCTAGCTATATCGTCCCTGGGCTGGGCGACTTTGGCGACCGATTCTACACAATGTAAGAGTAGTCAACAACATGTCCGATTCATCAAGCGCATTTGTTGGGCGTAGAGCGGCTCGGTTTTGCTTGAGCATGGTAGCATAAGGCTGTTAAGACGAAGATGCATGATTTCGAGCAATTTGGGAGCCTCTGATGTGCAAGCTTCATTACAAATTTCTATAGATCTTGCTCAGCTAACCGTGAACACGTCTCAGCCTGATGCTGACGATAATGAAACGCCATTGTGAATCTGTGGATCTTTTTGGTATCCTAAACGCCGTGCAAGCCGTGGCCCCTTCCCATGTTCCCATGTGTTATACAAGGCCCTAAGCCTTCGTGTCCTGCTGCTCCTTCGCTCCTGCCGACAGGCGACTTAGTCTGCGTACTCACCCTCGGCATCAGGCTCGTCGTGTTCGATGAAGCCGCCGTCGCCATCATCATCTTCTTGGTTGTGTGCCGTCGGCATTCTGCCCATGCGATTCGTACTCCGCGCGGTATCGACATTGCCCTTGGCTGCCTGCTTCGCAACCGCGTCACAGGCATCAATCCAGTCGGCATACACGTCGACGGGCGCACTGAGGTAGTTGATGTTTGTCTGGAAAGTCTGGCCGCAGACCTTGCACTGCAGGTTGCCGACACCTGACTTCTTTTCGATGGAGACGCTGACGGACTTTTCGTGGTTGCAGAAGAGGCATTGGAACGTGGTTGGGAGTTTCTCCTTCTGCAAGGTTGTTAGTCAGCGAAACCTCTAGAGACATGGGGTATGGCGTGCCTTCTTGGGGCCTTGAGGCTTGCTGGAGGATTTGCGCTTGCCCTGTCATTGCCATTAGTTTGCGAATGCGATAGGTGAAGCCGGAGAAGACATGCCATTTTCTCGTCGTCTCTCGAGTCGCCGAATGTAGAAGGTGTGTGAATACGTGGCTATTATCTAGCGACTGCGGTGTGGATATCGAGGCGCGGATTCGATGACTGTCGCGCTCTGGTCGTGTGCAGTGACGCGAAATCGCGAGTTTGGGGTGAATGCGTCTCGAGTCTCGCGTGGTTCCGACCGCCAAGATCCCTGTCGCTTCCCTTGCAGCTGCCGCATACGTCGATAGCCGATAAGCGTCCCCGCTCCTATCAGCGCTCTCTCCGAGCCTCATGCACGTGTATAGTCAGCTGTCCTGTGGTGCTGGCACCGCCGGCGAGCTCCTAATATCTGACCACATTGCTCTTTCTCTTCCTTTCTTCTCCTCTCTTCTCTGGATCTTCCTGGTCCCCTTTGATATCTGTTCAAAGTTGCATTTGTGCCTCTCCTTGCTACCTACGTCCACATCATCGTGTGTTTGTCCCACCATCGGCACTCACCGGTCTTTGTTTCACGTCCCGACACGAACCTGGCAATCACAATTGCTATTTCCCTCAAGACCCGAGAGCTTGCACTGCTTTGTATCAAGATTAACTATAGCAAACATGTCTTCTGAAAGCACTACCAGCGATGTTGTCCTTAAGGAGATCCTCGAAGGGCTCAAGGCCCTTCGATCGGAGAACTCCGTACTGGCAGCTTCAGTTGACAAAATCAACGGCCGTGTGAACATGCTGGCAGGCATCAAGCAAATCAAGGATGAGGCAGCAGATGCAGCTGCTAGTGGAAAGCTAGACGGTGAGAAGGCCAATGGTGTCGAACCAGAAGAGTCCAAGTCCGTAGAAGCTGTTAGCGAGCAGTATGAGCAGCCACCTTCAGATGCTGATGCTCAACCACGTCGCACGAGTGTATCCAAGATTTCAAAGATCATCTTGACTTCATATCCTGGTCAAGCTGGTGTCGACCCGTTGCCCATGCAATGGGGTGCCAAGGACCCTGCTGTTCGTGGCCCTGTCGTTGTTTCAAGACATGCGAACACTATCCGAAGACGCAACGGTATGTAAAGAAGAAATGCGTTAGAAATTGGCTTATCGCTAACGTATCTCAGCTATCGGTGCTCACGGTGGCTCGTACTCCATCTACAATGCTCTGGCCGTAGCAAGCAAGAACCTCGACATCACTCACAAGCCAGACTTCACTAACACCGAGCCTGCTGCAAAGATCGGTCCTTTCCCGCAATGGAGTGATCCAAAGAAGATCGTGGCCATGGATCCATATGGACATCTTGCACCATGGCTGTACAAGGAGACCATGGACAAGGATGATGTGGAGATCAGACCTACGATTGCCATTACCAGAGCGCACATGAAGGTGCCAGAACTTGAGGAGAGCGTACGAAAAGGCAGGCTTGTTCCCGACGGTAAGATTTGCATAAACGAGACAGGTGAAGTTGCCGTCACCAAGGTTGCAGTTGAGCCTGTATGGTACTTGCCTGGTGTTGCTGAGCGCTTCAATATTGGTAAGTCGTATCATCGCGGAGTCTTTTCTACCCTGACTAATGGACCCAAAAGATGAGGGAACTCTTCGCCGGACACTTTTCGAAGAGACTGGTGGCTCTTATCCTGAGCTCATCACCCGTCACGACATCAAGCTCTTCCTTCCTCCCATTGGCGGTATGACTGTCTACATCTTCGGTGACCCAGCAAAGATGTCCGATCCCAGCGCAAAGCTCGCTCTCCGCATCCACGACGAATGCAACGGAAGTGACGTATTCGGATCTGACATCTGCACATGCCGTCCTTACCTCACTTTCGGTATTGAAGAAGCAGTCAAGGAGGCCCAGAAGGGTGGTAGCGGTGTCGTCATCTACTTCCGCAAGGAGGGTCGTGCTCTTGGAGAGGTCACTAAATATCTCGTCTACAATGCCAGGAAGCGAGGCGAGGATCGTGCCAGCGAGTACTTCAAACGCACTGAGAACATCGCGGGTGTCAAAGACATGCGTTTCCAGGCTCTGATGCCCGATATCCTGCACTGGCTTGGTATCACCAAGATTGACAGAATGCTCAGCATGTCCAACATGAAGCACGATGCTATTGTTGAGCAAGGTATTCCAATCCATGAGCGCGTGCCTATTCCTGATGACATGATTCCGGCGGATAGCCGCGTTGAGATCGATGCCAAGATCCAAGCTGGTTACTGTAAGTTTTTATATACTCTCATACCCTTGTGCATTGCTAACATGGGACTTGCAGTCACAACCGGTCATGTCATGTCGATGGACGAGTTGGCAAACGTAAAGGGTCGTGGTTGGGATGATGTCGATGTAAGTGCAATCATGCGAACCTCATCTACGTGAACGAGTCGATACTAACTTCAATTTACAGCATTGAAGCACCAGTTCATCAATTGGAAAAAAGTGCTGTTTTGTAGAAGTCTACTCTAAGAAATGTGATGATAGTCAAGAAAATCGCGGCTCCAACCGTACAGCCAAAACACAAAATAAAGAACAAAGATCACACTGCTCTACCACCATTCATGCTTCCTGGTGCAAAATAGCAACCCAAAACCATGACTATTCATTGCTATCATCTACACCACTTTCATACGCAAACAGTAATCACCAGGCTTACGGTCAATCTACAACATACAAGCGAACAACACCTCCTTCCAACCAATCGCTTACTGTCAAGTCCCCTCAGCACACGTATCCACCTGAACATACGCACGCATATCGCGTTCCCATTGTCAAATCTCCCACCGTTCACCGCACACATCCCCCTCCCCCACCAAGACCCAGTATCCACCTCACCATTCCAGTCATACTCGCATCTGCACGTGAGAAAAGCCCACATCATCTCTGCATCTCTACAACACTAAGCCCAGTCTGCGCAAACGATCCCCTTACTAGCTATTGTGATCGCTGTCACTATACAAGCATGCCTGGTCCCTATCGCCCTTGTCCCCTGGTTTTTTTGACACCCGCGCGAAGCCCTACCCGCACCTACCGCGCATGGTCTCGTGTGACAGATACCGTATGCATGTAGAAGGCATTACGGTAGGATCAGGATCTACCGTCCGGTGTGTTACACGAGTTATGTGGATAAGCGTACGTAGAATCCAGGGTCTAGATGTCGGATTTTGTGGGTGGGCTGTGTGCACGTGTGAGTGGTGTAGGGAAAGTGGGGGAATAGGGTAGCTTGGTCGGTAGGGTAATGTGAGCGGAGCAAAGGACACCGATTGATTGCCGGGAGCGGCCCGCTAGCTATGAAGTTTGACCGCTGGTGTTGGTACACGTTTTTTTCTTCTTCTAGTTTACCATTATTGCAGACCGCTTCTTTGATTGTGCGAGGATGTGTTCACTTGTAAATGGATACATGTCCACTATGATGCCTTGGTATGTTTCAGGTTCTGGGAAATAGAGGTTTAATGTGGTGGATAATTTTGCTTTCGCCATGATGTCGCCGTAGTTCTGTTAGTTCATCGTGCAAGGTGGACCGGGAAGATTGTGTCCTTGTTTGCCCGAGTGTGGAAGGAAGAAATATGTGCCATTTGGTTGGTTGGTCAGTTGTAAGAAATAACAAAGTGGAGTGCGGTGCAGTCTGGATAGTGGCGGTAAACCCGTCACATTGTTGGCGACCGTTTCTGCGTTGCCGCAGTGACAAGCGCTTCTCTACTCGCTCGCTCGAGAAGGAGGAAGCTGCAATTACTCGGCATGGTGGTGAGCGGGGATATGTTTCAGTATTCGGGAGGGATCGGCAGCGAGATCTGCCATCGAAGCGTGTCTGGATTTGCGGAGAATTACTTGGGGCAAACATATCTGACCTGATGGTGTGGTGGTGAGGGGTCATGTTGAGGAGGGGCCCGGCATCGCCACGAAAACACCAACGCCTGGGAGTTCTCTTCGGAACATGGAAAACTAAGGTATGCGAACTTTGGTTGTAGTGGCTGATCGTACCCGGTCCGAAAAGAGTACATGGGAATCTATCGTCGATGAGGATGCGGAATTGCAAAGATGCTGTAAACGGCCGCGGCTATGACGGCGTGGAGGGGTACCCGCTTCCCGGGTTTGACATGCACGTCGGCATGGCTAACCACATCGCGTGTACACAATGACGGACTGGGCAGCACGGCATGATGCTAGACAACTTTCGGCTCCTGCATCTGCCTCTCAAATTGGACGGACAGGTGAACTGTTGCTCTGCCTATGGGATCTCTCGTGTATATACAAGAAGGGCCGCACTGTGCTTCTAAAGAGAGTTGGCATGGTCCCTTATCAGAGTTTTGTTGAACGTCCGGTGTTAGGCGACCAGCTGAGAAGGCATCGTTGGGATGAGGACTATCAAATCGGAGCGTTGCCCGCTCTTCATGGAAAGCATGGCAACATGTGAGAGCAGCTGACGCGGAGGTGGAGCGAGACGAGGTAACAATCGTTCCAGAACCAAGTCAGACATAAGCGTTGCCGACAGAGTTACGTTTTGTGGCATTCTAGTTGCAGAGTCAAAAGTGTGAGGGGTAGATCCGGGGATAGCAGGATGGCTCGAATTATCCCCAGAAAATACTCGCAATCGTTCACTATTGCATTGCCAACTCCCTCTGTTTTTTGCTACATGAGTGAATGATCAGTTGTGCAAGGGATATCACTCTGATTGCGACTGTCTCAAGTATTAATGATATATTGCGACTTGCGACCCCTCGTGTACCCCTAAGCGGTAGAATGTCGGGTACGCGTCTCCCCCTCAATGGCTATGCAACGGAGGGACTTTACCGATGTGACATCCACAACACGAGAGACCATTATCGAAGGGCTGTGGGTAATAGCGACCGGTGTCGAACGCGTTGGTGTCCTCGCGTGTCTTTATGCTCCAACCGGATCGCACGAAGGCGTTGGAAGGATGCCCTTGCAAGTGCAACGTTCTCGACTTTCAATGACAAGGGATTGTCATCTGCATTGCATGACACTGCATAAATAGAAACCTCAGCTGAGGCAATGTCGTCACCAGCAAAGTGGCCGATATGAATGAGGCTCATTGCAGGTCCGGTACCTGTCTCATTGTCGCACAAACCGCATGGTGGTCTGTAGAGGTGTCTGGAACTCGATAACAACTTAGGCTACGGATAAGCATACGTGTGCCCCTCGAACGTTCCTGATACACAACAAGGAAGGCTCGCCCAGTTTCCAGGGCGAGTAACAAGGCAGAGCTGGTTCTGTCATCACCGCGCAGCCATGACGGATGTTCATTGGGATGGCGGCTTGCATCCGCCGATGCCATGGTTTGAGGATGCGACGGCGCCGCTATGGCAGTGCACTCCCGCTCTTCCGGCGAGGCCTTGGATCGAGTTGCGCGATGCCAATCAGGAACGGCCGACACGAATGACCTGCCACACCGTAAGCGCACTCCAAGGCGAAATCGACCTTTCCGAATTGGCTACCCAGGTACAATGCCAGTGTCTGCTTCATCACAACAAAGTGTTTCAGGTCTGTCATCCGCCTCGTCGTCGGCGGTGGCCAACTCACACCTGCAGCAGCTCGCAGCAGACTACCAGACTAGAGAAATGGACGTGAGGTGGTCTTGTGTGCACCAGGGGCGAGTCAGGGCGAGTCAAAGCATGACAGCACACCTCCCTTGCAAACACACTAATTCTGAACGTCCACGTTTTCTGGCGGTACCCACTTCGGCATGCATAACTAGCCCAAAAAGCCAGCGATGTCGAGTGGGGAGCTCCGGGCTGCTGATGCACTTGGCGTCGACCAGGGTGCCTGGAACAGCCAGAGGCGTCACTATACATACGTGCATTCGGTAGTATGGGGTGAATAGCGTCTAGGCGATTTGGACACCATTATTATACTACCCTCCCGCTCACTCCGTCATTCTTCAATTCCCAAACCGCATTTAATTCTCCGACTTTGACATTCGCTCGTTGTCGATCGACGCACATCTTCGCCATGTCTAGCCACCCACGATACTACTTCTCACTACCTACCGAGGCGCCACAACGATCCCGCTCAGCAAGTCGGCGGCCACCTCTAACACCGTCAACTGTTTCTTCACCATGCCTCACGACACTCGTGCCTGTAACTTCTCGACGGGATTCTGGCACATCAACATCGGGCAGCCCGACCAAGGCCTCTATCCTCTTGGCTAAGGTTGCCTCATCGCCTACTACACCTCGAGGCGAGACGCCACCTGGAAGCCCAATGCTCACTCCACGGTCGAGGCTACAGTCAGAACCGGCCTATTCTTCTGAGAGGCCATCGATGTCCAGGACTGAAAGTGACCGCTACGTCAGGCAATACAGGCAGCAGGGTAAGCACTGAACCGGATCACTTGCTACGAAGCAGCACAAGCTAACATTCTTCTAGATGGCTACATCAGCTTTCCTGACTTTGAGAAGTTTTGCCAAAACCAGAATCCATATGGCGAGCAACATCAGCAATCTGATGTCAGGACATGAACAGACATGCATGAGTCTTTGATGTTATGCAACAAGGACTTGTCATTTCAACAACACCCACCAACCCCATCACCGCATCGCCAGCCAGGCTTACGCTCCTTACCATGAGTTGAAGTACCGTAATCTGGACCCAGAGCATCGCAAGTTGATAGTGTTCTATCTTCTGCTTGACTGGTAGTCCATCTGACTATCACCGCATCGTCTTTGCTGTCAGCAAGAGTGAGAATGAACAGGGATCAGATCAGCAGATCTATGTCACGACAGTAATATGTCGAGATGTAAAGAGGAGGGAAGAAATCATTGAGGATGGTGTGCGCGGGTATGTCTCGTCATGCTAGACGCAGCGATTCAGCTGCGGCCATGATCGCATTGTTGCCACATGGAGTGGAATGCTTGGCACTGCCTGGAGGACACCTGAGAATGAGTGCGACTCAAATTTGGATGGGGGCGCTAGCGTGTGCGAAGGGTAGTCTAGTCTGTTCGTTACAGCTGAAAGAACTGTAAAGGGATCTAGAGCCACTACAATGTAACCATATGTAAATTACTCAACGTGTCCGATTTAACCGAGATCTGCCGTGAACGATGTTGTTGGTCTCCATTGCATTACCAGGCATTTCTGGCGTGAAGTTGGTCGTGCCCCATGTGCTCTCCATACTATGGCGGCGACGACGACGACGACGACGACGACGACTATAATAGTGCTTCGTTGCCATGATGTAACTGCAGCACCTCTCTCTGCTGTGCCCTGTTCATTATTGTGATGAATAACATGCACGCACTTTACACGTTTACTTGCAAATTCGCAAGACGCAACTCCAGGATTTCCACATGCATCGCGACGCATAGGAGATCAAGCAGCTTAGCAGCCATGAAAGGACCCGTTCACTACGGATCTTCTAGATGATGTGCATTCGATTGGAGGTTGATGTTGCTGATCACCGCGCTCGATTTTGGGGCTTGGCACACGTGATGCGCTACTGGGCTCGCTTAACGGATTTTGAACACCACCAATTTGCGACTCTCAGCCTTTTGACATCGACAGCGACAACCACCCTCCCGACTACCGACAACAAGACTCGCAATCATGGCTGTCGGCAAGAACAAGCGTCTTTCAAAGGGAAAGAAGGGTCTCAAGAAGAAGACCGACACCTTCGCGAAGAAGGACTGGTACAACATCAAGGCCCCAGGAACTTTCGCCGTCCGAGAGTAAGAATTCCCGCTGCGCTGTACACGGGGACTCAATGCTTACTCTTCGCTCTTTGTAGTGTCGGAAAGACCCTCGTCAACCGTACCACCGGTCTCAAGAACGCCAACGACGCTCTGAAGGGCCGGATATTCGAGGTTTCGCTCGCCGATCTCCAGAAGGATGAGGACCACGCTTTCCGCAAGGTCAAGCTCCGCGTCGACGAGGTCCAGGGCAAGAACTGCCTGACCAACTTCCACGGTCTCGACTTCACCTCCGACAAGCTCCGCTCCCTCGTCCGCAAGTGGCAATCCCTCATCGAGGCCAACGTCGTTGTCAAGACCACCGACGACTACCTCCTCCGCCTCTTCTGCATTGCCTTCACCAAGCGACGACCGAACCAGGTCAAGAAGACCACATACGCCCAGTCGTCCCAGATCAGGGCCATCCGCAAGAAGATGGTTGAGATCATGGCCCGCGACGCCAGCTCATGCACCCTCGCCCAGCTTACCCAGAAGCTCATCCCCGAGGTCATCGGTCGCGAGATCGAGAAGGCCACCCAGGGCATCTACCCTCTCCAGAACGTATGTGGTCTACAGCACAACGGTGGATGACACAGGCTAACGTAATACAGGTACACGTACGAAAGGTCAAGCTCCTCAAGGCACCCAAGTTCGACCTTGGTGCCCTCCTCGGTCTCCACGGCGAGTCAAGCCAGGATGACTCTGGCCAGAAGGTTGAGCGTGAGTTCAAGGAGACCGTCCTTGAGCAGGTTTAAGGTCTTGTTGGATAGGCAAGGGGTTCTTGGGTCTTTTCAACTTTCCGCGGCATGATATCGGCATTCCAAAGGTGTTTGTGTTTACAAATGAAAGATAAACATGGCCCTTGATGCGATCCCGCGGCAGTGATGGCGTGCATGGGGTACGATCCGCATCTGGTGTTAACAGGTCATGCGGGAAAAGTATCATGGAAATGACATTGATGAGTTCCAAATTCATACCTACTGCCATGCGTTCTTGATCGTGTCTGTGGTATGGCGGTCCAATCCCGACGACTGGATTGCAGTCGTGACCATGCCTACATCGTGCGTTGTATGCTGCAGTCAACATTCGCGTATCGAGAATTCTATAGAGTTGAGGTGGAGCTATGGCACCCTTCGATCATGAAGATGGTGTTCTAGGAGCATTGTGAACATGCGAGAGTATAGTGGCATGGTACAAATTTGAAAAAAAAAGTTCGAAGTCAAGCCGAGGAATGCCTCGACAGATGAGATTCACACCACCACTATCCGCACAGTACTTTCATGCTTGTCCGCGAAAAGGTTACGTCCGTGATACAGTCAAAAAGTAATGCCTTCCGCCAGAATTGAACTGACGACCTCGTCATTACTAGTGACGCGCTCTACCACTGAGCTAGGAAGGCTGATTTGAAGCTGTTGTGCTTGTTGTTGGAAAATTGTTTAAAACATCAAAATATATAGTTATCCAAAGAACAGTTGGTGGTTAGTCCGAACGTTTGCCCTACAATCGTTCAGGTTCAGGGGTTGGAGCACTTCACTAGAACTAGCCAAAATCGGAGGTCATCTTCCGACAACGTCCTTCCAACGTCCAAACACCCATGCACAAAAGTCTCCGACTACGTCTTCAACCTCCGATGTACTACCTAGTCACCATCACGATCCCCAAGCTATAAACTTCGATCTGTACTCTAAACTCTGATAACAGAACACCAGGTCACCAACGCCCATTGCGGTCCTACTTCGTTCATAGCCCTGCGGTGTACAAATGCCAATGTGACAATCAATACATTATCGTGTACATCGAAGAGTCTCGACTCTGATGATCAGTTATGATGATGTGGCTTTGCGTTTTCTCTTTCGCGTGGAAGCGGGAAGACGATTCAAGTTTCAGCGTTGGTGGTGTGTTGGTGTTGAGCGGCACCTCACCGCTACTTTGACGAGGAGGAGACGTCAGCGCTTTCGCGAAGTAGCGATACCACGGTACGAAAGAATGGACATCGGGATCGATCGCAACTGTAGAAGGTACGAGGGATGTGATATGGGGATATGGGAGAGAGTTTAGCTTGAAGTTAAGTGGGTATATTGGGTGGAGAGGCTCGGCTTTGGGCTGGGGTGAATTGTAAGACTGGGTGGATCACGAACATGGGACAGAATGCGTTCTCATCGTCGATGGTGATGGTTTGTCCAATGTTGTTGTATCCTAGATGCTTGCTTGCTTGCGAGTACGTATATACAGCGGTCCGATTCATGTAGCTACCTTACCGGCCCGTGCCCCGGTCAAATAGTCGCGGACACATACTATCGCGGCTCCGCAACGTCTTCCATATAGTTCTCTCGATACCGCCAGCCGCATATCGCGCGGCTATTATGTACGTCCGTATGCTGGTCATGCATGCACGTTGGCTCCGGTGAAAGCCCCAGTCTTAACGCTAACCAATCCTCCGCACAACCTTGCTAGTAGGCAAACCCTCCCTTCTTCTGATCCTGACCCGGATATCCCCCTTGGGAACCCTTGTGACCGCTCCATCAACCGCTTTTGGAAACACCCACCTGGCCTCTTTCCTCTTAGCATCCTCTTTCTCCCGATTCGCTTCCTCTTTAGCAGCCTTTTGCTCCGCAGTAAGGGCCTCGGCACCAAACGACGCTTCATTACCTGCTTCTTGGATGTGATCGAAGAAGCTCTTCTTTGGCGCAGGCGCGATTTCCCAAAGTTGGGTGATACCTGATACGATAGAGATGATGAGATCAGTCTTGTAGGACTGAGAGCTATCGGCAGGCGATAAGACAGACGATGAGACGGGAGTGTTGAGAAAGCGGTTGGGGCGAAACGTTTCTGGGGAGGCATGAAATGCTGACGACGAGTTTATGAGTGATTGAGAGAGACCCATGTCGATATATGTACCCGTTTCTAGTTCCCATTGCTCCTTCCCACCAGGACCGTCCTCCTGTAGATGGAGTGGCTTCTCGACTCTGTATGTGCTGGCGGAACAGGTATGTAGACGTCGAGCTTCGTTGATGCATGAGCGAAGATAAGGTAGAGAACTTGAAGTCAGCGCTTCCTTCACTGAGCCGAAGCGAATTTCCGGTGGTGCCGGAAAAGATGGGTGTATTGATGGGGGTTGTACAGCTTGAGCCCAGGTCTTGGATTCTGATTTGATATTCTCGAGAGGTGACCCTTCTGGAGCCTTTACGTCTTGCGCGTTGGATGACGAGTAGATGTGAAGAACCGTCCAGAATACAAGTGGTATGACGTCTGAGTAGATACCATGTACTAGATGGAGACCGATCGAAGCTCGTAACTCGGCTGGTAGTTCATGTTTGGTGAATAGCTCGTTAAGCTTCATAAGGGGAGTGACTACGTCAGCGTCCGTGTCTTCCTCTCCGCTCACGCTCTCGTCATCGTCTGGTACCCTCCTTACTGGTGGATGTGTCAACTCTGTAAACAGATTTGCAAAGTTCTTCAGCAATCTCTTTCTTGCCAGAGCTGCTCCCGGCAAGCCCTGAACAGGCGTCAATCGCGGCAACCCGAGAGCGAGAGCCCAAAATCGTTCGTTGCAACTTGCCAGATCAGTAGCAAGCAGTTGATAAGACTCTGTAAACTGTGCTCCGACAATCGGGGGTAAAATAGCATTGCAACAAAATTCGTTGAGCAGTGTGAACAGATCACATTCGGCCTCAGAGGTGCCATCCGTAAGTTCCACGTTGGAGACGCGCTCCCATTGCATCTGGTCGACAATAGATGAGTTGAATGTGACGAAGTCCGGAAGCGATTCGGTTAATATGCGCAGCGATGCTTTGATCAATCCTTCCTCGGCCACACCTTTGTATAGCTCCGTTTCCACGACCTGATTGATTTCGTTCTGAATCTCAAGATAATGGCTCTCCATTACTTTCGGGAGGTTGAAAGTGTTTCGGAGAATAGCGAGTTGGCTGCTGTCTGGCAGCTCCAAACTATGCAAGTTCTTATAGATCTGGCCAAGCAAGGAATTTGAAAGTAGGATGTTGTGTTTGGTCCCAGCTGCCTTGTATGCCACTATGCTTGCAGTTGCAGAATCCCTATTGCCAGTCAGATCAACCCGACGGGCATTATCAACACGCTTACCGGACGCCGTTCAACCACTCCTCGCCTCCAAAAACAATGCTCCAAAGATGACGTACACCCGGGATCCAGTATGGCAGCGATTGTACCCGTCTCTTCCCATCTTGGCTTTTGACAACTTTTCCCGAACTTGATAGCAGCCTCGTAGGTAGTAACACGAAGACCGCCGAAATCGCAAACGTAGGTAATAGATCGAACCAGGAGAAGTCTTCTGGTATAGCTTTTTCAAGAGTTTGACCAAGACCAAAGTACCAAGCTAGAACAAGTATGAATGGACTGAATAGTGTGAGGTAACATAGTGGTAGAAATAACGTCCTTATAATGCCATTCGAGGCATATACGCTCAGGAACAGAGTCCTGAGGGAACCCATGTTGGCGGTGACAAAAGCAACGGTCTCCCCGCGCGTGCTCGGCGATCACTTTGTCCTGAGATGACGAAAGGGAAAATGCTCAGCTCTCGGTGCGTTCCGGAGAATAGCTGTAGAGGGTTTGTTGCGCGCGGTGAGGTCGTGAATAACAGTCGAATGATGTTCAGCCTCACGCCATGAGGCTCTTGCTCGGCGAGCTCGGGGGTTTGGAGCTGCGACCAGTCGGTAAGAACGGTCAAAACCGTTATGAAGGATTCAGGAACCTTGCAGGGTGTGATTTGATGCGGCTGAAAGTGATGTTCTGTAGGCCACGGTAACATTCAATGCACGCTAGGAGATGGATCCCTGCTCAGCTCGCTTATGAAAGGGCCTAAACATAGACCCCTCAGCCCTATCGCGGTACTGTGAGACGGAGATATTGCACATTGTGGTATTAGAAGAGTACTAAGCTATCAACCCTAAAAAGTACGTGCTTTCAGCCCTCGCGGTACACCAGTCTGTGATGTCAAGCGCCCTTTGTCAACCGAGACTGTCATTCAGACCGCTATCATTCTCATTGCGCCCTTCCCAACATGAAAACATCAATCCCACTCAGCAGCTTAACAAATCATATAAATCTCAACTAACGATCCCCATAGCACCAAGATTCATCAGAACGAACAATCAAAAATTCCGGAGCTACGCTCTCAACTACACTCATAATGTCACCCTCAAGCATTCCCACGGTCCTAAACTTCATAACGGGCAACAAGAACAAGCTCGCCGAAGTCCAAGCAATTCTTTCCGGTGTCATCGAGCTGCGGAATCAAAACGTCGATCTAGTCGAGATCCAAGGCACCGTTGAAGAAGTCACAAAAGACAAGGCACGGAGAGCAGCCGAAGCGGTAAGTAAAACAACAATCTAACCCACCTGGTGCTTTGGTATGGGAACACAGAATTCTCATGAAACGAAATCAGGAGTTGTACATCTAGGATTTTGTTGGTTGCTAACGGACCCATCGTTCAGATTCAAGGCCCTGTCCTAGTAGAAGACACATGTCTCTGCTTCAAAGCTATGAACGATCTTCCGGGACCGTATATGTATGTCGTCCTTCTCTTCAAATCCCTCCTCTTCTTCCTTTCCCTATCTTCTATCCCATTTTTTCCATTGGCACATCCTCTCAACTCCTCCCCAATAATTTCCCTTGAATAGCCGCCTCTCTAACACTCCTGATCCGCCAGTAAATGGTTCATGCTCTCCCTTGGCGCCCCCAACCTCCACAAAATGCTCTCCGGCTTTGACGACAAATCCGCCCAAGCCGTATGCACATTCGGATACTGCGAGGGACCAGGCCACGAAGCGATTCTCTTCCAAGGACGCACAGATGGCAAGTTGGTAGAAAGCCGGGGTCCAACTGTTTTCGGTAAGTGGCAGATCTTTTCAGTATTGTGTCGAAAGTGTGGGAGGGCTTGAGAAGGAGTACGAAGAGCTAACGATGTAAAGGTTGGGACTCGTGCTTCGAGTACGAAGGCCAGACGTATGCTGAGATGGAAAAGAGCGAGAAGAACAAAATTAGCCATCGGGCTAAGGCACTGGACAAGTTGAAGGAGTGGCTGGCGAGCAAGAAAACTGAGGCGTAGAAGAGCATTTTGATTGCTGTAACGCCTAGAGCACAAGAAGAGGGTTGAATTGATAGTCAACCTCACCAGAACTCTTTTAAGAAAAACATCGTCTTGGTATCATAACACATGCCATCGTATCACGTCGTACCTTTTTCCTCTCTCCCTCTAGATATTCCCAACTCGACCTACTCTTCCCCTTCCGCATTCTGCCTGTCTTTCCTCCACTGCTCAATCCATTGCTCCACTCGCTCCAAGTTGCCCTCGACGTCCTCGTTACTCTCACTCCTCAGCTCCACCACGATCTCTTCTTTATAGCTCTCCCTCGCCTCATCAAGCAGAACCTGCATGATTTCACTATCCATATTCTCCTCCAACTTCTTTCCCTTGTAGCCCCGCGCGGTGAGACGATCGTATAAAAGTGTGCTGTCGCAGCGCAGCACGATGACGAGGTCGATCCAGCGTTCGGGGAACAGGTCGCACGCGTGCCAGTCGAGGATATAGCCGCCTGTGCTGGCTAGGGGGAGGGATTCCAGGTGGTCGAGTAGCTGGATGAAACACACATTAGCCCGGAAAACCGTGATTGTTATAAGGATGTTACATACTTTGTCTTCGTCTACAATCCAACTCCCTGTCTCCTCATCTTTGCCCTCATGGAAGCCCTCGTCTTTGACAATCTGATTCACGGAGACGTGCTTGAATCCTGTCGCTTGCGCTAATTGCTCAGCGTGTGTTGTCTTTCCTACTCCGGGTGTACCCGTGATGACAATGTTTGGGTTCTGGCGCGCCATTTCCTCGTCGTCTCTCGTCGCAAAGTCGTGATCGGTCTCGGTCGCGTAGTTGGCAGGCTGTTGGGAGTTGTAGGCTTTCACAAGTCGTTATTTGTATGTGCCTTGCGATTGAAATCTATTGCCAAATACAGGTATATCCTGCAGGGTAATTGTGGTAGTACTTTGCGGGGTGAGGGTGGTAGGGTATTGTGTAGCGTTCAGGTGCTCAGTCGCGTCTGCTGCTGATCGCATTCCAGAATTATTTTTCGAGCGCCCGAACTTCACCCGGCACAACCCCCACTACCCCGCACTACTCATCCTGACATGGCCCCCAAGACAAAGCAAATGCACAACATCTGAAGTGTGACGGCGGGTGCAAGGATACCTATGTAACCACAGCATGTGTAACATCCTTCTAGAACGTATTGATAGTTGGTTGGGTATCCGGAATGAGGCGAGTGTTATCACACACTCCTGCCGAGGCAGATCAACATGCATCAACAGCATGAGCAAATTATACTGGCTCCTACCAAAAGTGAGGCTTCAAACTTTTCTTTTCATTGACCCGTAACATGCGCTCAAGACTACCTACGCCGTCTAAAATACCTCGTCAACATAAACATCCCTGAACCCAAGGAAAACATGCTGCAAAACCCCACCTAGACAACGCCGTAGATGCTAGCGATTGGTGGTTGTAAGAGCCCAGGAACCTGTTCGAGCAGATGTCTGGAGGGGTGAGAAGAAGTGGTGGGGGAGGGTAGAGAACTGAGTAGTTCTTAAGATATCTAGTCCAGAGGAAGCTCCAACCAACCATTGCCGAACGAACACCCCCGAACTCTTTTGATGCAGTATTACGCCGAGTAAGAAATCGTGAAGTGAAATATCGGACGTGGAGAGTCGTTTCAAAAAGACATCTCAGTGTGACAGAAGGCGGCTAGGAGGCTAGCTTGAACTGCACATGCCGCTTAGAACGACCTGGGGATATTGTGATCTTGGGAATGCGAGATTACTTTTCGTCGAGCATTTAGCTCTGCTTGCACTCAGCAGCCTCCTGCTTTGGTTTTGTGCCGTCGTTCTACAATCGTGTTAGTTGGTGTTTATTCAAACAGCGACTATAACTGCTTACCTCGTCATCTGATTCCTCCTCCTCGTCGCGGTCATCGCTGAGCTCATCCTCGTCCTCATCGTCTTCATCCTCAAACTCGCCCTCGTCAAAGTCCTCAATGTTCTCGTATTGAAGGGCCTCGCCGGTGAACCAGTCAATGGCGCGGGGGATGAGCTTCTCCTTGATGTCCTCACCGAGCTGGTAGTCGAGTTCGAGACGCTCCTCAATATCAGAGGTGGCATCATCGTCGTCTTGTGGGGGCTTGGGCGGGTCGAAGAAGTTGAAGAACGACTCTGTAGGCACGGTCTTCTTAACGACGCGGGTCTGCTTGGTGTCTGAAAGCTGTTAGTCTGCTATCACCTCGTGACGGCGATTGAAAACTCACTCTTGTTCCTCTGCTTCTTGCTCTCGATGCGGACAGTCAGGTCCTTGCCTGCCTTCCAGTCGACCTTGTCGCCCTCGGCGTGGTCATAGATGAAGTCACCTCCGTAGCCGTTCTCCTCCTGGTAGAAGTAGGTCTTGGTGATGGTCTTGTTGGTGAAGAATTCGTTGTCCTCGAATTCGAAGATGAGGCGGAAACCGGGGCGGTCGAGGTACTCCATGCGGATGTCGGTCAGGTGCTTCAGAGCAGCCTCGTCGCGGTCTGTGATCATCTCGGCGAGCGAGATCTGGTTCTTCATGGCGCTGAGCCAGAACTCTGGAATACCCTTGACATCCTTGCCCTCGTCCTTGTTGAGCTCAGGCTCGGGCTGGTCCTCGTCCTCGTCATCCTCATCTTGCTGCTCGCCGACCTTGACCTGGTCTTCTGAGGGCTCCTCGTTGCCGTTGACGATCTTGGCACGGGTCTGGTATAGCGGTGTGAACTTGGCGAAGTACTTCTTCTCCAGCTGCAGGACCTCCTCTTGGAACTCAGCCTCGAGCTTGGAGTGCTCCTTCTGGACGCCCTTGAGGCCGGCAACACGACGGCGGACCGAGGCTGGGAGTGACTCAATGTAGCCGCTCGAGCGGCCGACGAGCGAACCGAGCTTGTTCTGCATCATGGCGACGAGGGCGGGGTTGGCAGCGAACAGGCCGGCGGCGGTGCGCTCTAGTTCCTCTGTGCGAAAAATCGAGTTAGCGGTCAAGGCCTTGACGACGATACAAGGCGGGGTTGGAGGGGCAGGGAATTTGCGACATACCTTCCTTGATGGTGCCCACGCCGGGCTGCTGAGCGCGCGATGATATCGGGGCAGCATTTGCGGGTGTGTTCTGGGGGGTGCTGGCAGGGCGCACGTTAGAATGCGGTACGTCCATGATGGGGGGGCTTGTTGTGGTGGTGTTTTGGAGAGACAAAATTGTGTGGCGGAGGGTTGGGAAGCGACTTACGGGGCGGATATGGAATCCATCTTCTTATTGCGGATCGGCTCAGACATCTTGGCGAATGAGTGATGTCGGTCTGGCTGTGGCGAGATTGTTGGGCGAAAGGTGGATGTTGTGGGTGAGCCGCAGAATTGTTCGGCGGGTTGAGCGAGAAGGACAGGCGCTACGCAAGGTTGTTTTCGCCCCTCTCTATGGCTAGTTGCAGGCTAGTGGAAAATGCAACCGTAGGCTGGCAAACAGCAACACACTGGGACTGCGCGACCAGACGATAGACACTGCCCGTTGGATGGAGGCGGATACAATCAAGCCAGAGCGGCGGGCGAGGTGGTTTTTGTACCTTGACCGTCTTTTCGCAGCGACATGGCACGTGTGCCCTTGCTTGCATCTCTCCGACATCCAGCAAACGAGCGATTCAAGTTTATCTGGCGGCGATACCTCACTTGCTTGTGCGCGCAGTAGTCTACCACGTCGACTGCCCTGCCCTGCACTGGCACCACGGCCGACCTTGGCCGCCGGTACTTGGAGAGGGTACTCGGAGACGGGAGAGCGTGGATTTTCCACTCTGTCCAATCCCACGCCCGGACACGCCCCGACTGCACATTGTCACCATCGTGAGTCGACTCGGAGCTTGACACGGATGCACTAAGCAGCACCATGCACACATCCTACCTGGGTACTCTTTGCGATCTCTCTACACACCCGATCAGCGTCAGCTTCGATCAGTAGCCACACCTGCCTTCTAGAACAAAGCGGGTCTCTGCAAAATCCTTAGCAAACCCTTAGCAAAATCTCTCTGGCCCAGGGCACCACCCTAAACCCGAACCCGCAAGGCGCCAATGGCAACCACGGATGTGAGCATGTTGGGGGTGGGTGTCACCAAGAGTCATGTTCTCTACTGCCCGTTAGCGGCATGTGCAAGAACCCTATTCCCAGTGACAAGCGTCGTGACGAGAGAACTTCAATTCTTCCAAACAATACCCACAACTCACAATTGCCGACCGGCAGGAGCGGGACACCACCAACTGATGAGAGAACTTGAAAAAGTCTTGACATGGACATGACGATGGTGGTTTGGACTTTTTTTCTTAGGCTATTCAGGCATCCACGTCTTCCCATCTACAGTCTTCCCTGTATTCTTCCCAACCTCCTCGTAGCAACAACCGCCATACACGCCGAACAGGCCCCAATGAACAAGCAAACTGCAATTGCATTCGGCCTATCTGTGCTATGATGTTCTTCGGGCGGCGCCTCACTCAACTCGGGACTCTTTCCGGGCTCCAAGATGGAAAATACTACCCACGATATCCCTGTGCCCATGAATTGTGGTAGCGTCGTATATAGGTTCATAATGCCGAGGTATTGGCCTGAGCTTGCTCCGCCGCTAGAGGAAGATGCAGCACCCTTTTCGAGGTTGGATTGCGCTTCAGGAAGGTCGATGGAGGAGCGCTTTGGGTGTGTCGAGTGCGACGACGATGCGTTGAGGCGGTTGATCTCTACGCCGAGAAACGCAAAGGGAGCCCAGCAGGCTACGGACCATGATCTGTGTTGCATCAGTCGAGCTCCGTGGAGGAGGGCTTCACGGTGGTCACTTACACGCCACAGCAAGCGATGATGATAGTCGCATGTCTCAGACTTCTCACGAAAGGCGCCATGACCATGCTTCCTGCGAAAATACAATGCGCAGTTGTCCATGCTGTGAGTAGGCTTGGCTTATATTTGGCCAGCCCAGTCAACCGCTTAGGCGGATGGGAGAAGCCAGGGCCCTTTTCATCGTCTTCGGGACTTTGTACAAAGAAAGGCAGTAGAACAGACATTACGAATGTGATAATGGAAAAGGCGATGAGGGCCATGGAGCCAATGCGACCAACCTTGCCCGTAAGATCACCTGCTGCCTTGACCTCAGCTGGCGCGTCATACCGTAGGTATACCTCGCCAACCCAAGTCGTGCTGTAGAAGAGGAAAGGAAACCAGCCTGGCCAATCATTAGTACACAGTCCGCACAAACAGCACATCAACAACGTACCAATCCAAGCCCAGAATTGAACTGTGCAGATGGCTTGGATACTTCGGGGCAGGTTCAAAGCAGTATGCGCGATGGTACCGAGAACTTGCTTGAGATCCAGCTCCTTGCCCTCTTCAGCTCCGTCATGAATAAGCACTCTTTCAGTAACCGCCCAGCTTGTCGTTCCAATGGCCAAGCACAGCGTCAAAGCTGCAACGCCCGTCAACTGCTTGAACTGCGTGTCTCCCAACATGGGCCCAAACACACTCCTCAGGTCAATTGCTCCTGCGCCATACCCTATCAAACTCCCAACCGCAACCATCCTGCTCGCCCAACTACTGCCCATCTGTTGTTTCGAAATAGGCAAAGTATCGACTACCAAGCCTCTGCAACTTCCCTGCACAGCATTTATGGCGAAATCAATCCCATAGATACTAAACACAGCAACGTATATCGTCGCGCTCTTAGCCGCAACCTCGTCCTTTATAAAGTACCGAACCACCTCTTTTGTCCAGCCTAGCAGCAGTAAGAACATGGCCACCAGTATCGTTCCAAAGAACATAAAGGGTCTTCGACGGCCCCATCGTGAGGTAGAACGATCTGCGACGACGCCGACGATGGGCTGCATTATGAGGCCTGACAGTGGACCGGCGACCCAAACAAGGGAGATTTTCGATTTCGTAAGACCGAGTTCGAGGAGGTAGGGTGTGCAATATGTCATTTCAACATTCCACGTGAACCTGCATGTTGCTTAGTACATGACACATGTAGACTTCTTGGGCCAGGATCGTATTTACTGCAAGCCTATGAGCGACGCTGTGAGCAACGCCATGCGTATGCTCTCAGTTGAGCCCTTGACTGAAGGCGTCCCCTGCCATTGCGCGACAGACGGCATCTTCCCCCTAACACCTTGACGGCAATGCGGATGCAGTCGCGTGCGCTTTCTCTCAGGATCTTTCTCGTAGTTTAGGCAAACGTGGAAGGGCTCATTGGGGTAAGCCGGATCGTGTGGTTCAGGTTTCGTATTACGTTCGCAATATGCAGGGTTCGAGGTAATTAGTTAACTAGAATAATGCGCGCTCAATGCAACAACGTATGAGATAAGGGAAAAGCAATAAGGAAGATATATCGAGGGAGCGAAAGAAAGTTGGTATTTGTCTCTCTGCTTTTCTAGGGGTCTAGTTTGGAGGATCGTGAGGAGAGGGCTTGCAAAGGAGAGGAAACGTTGTCGTCAGCTCCATGGCTTGGCCGTGTCGCTTGTCGAGATGATTACGGATGTCGGGATCGTTGGAAGGGCCAAACGGCGGCCAAGTATAGCTAGCGCGCTAGATTGAGCGGGCCGTGTGGCGCACCCCGAACGCGTGGTTCGGCGCAGCTTGGGCCGACGGTCATGGAGCTGTTCTTGCGGTTCGTGGGTTTGGCTTCCTTTGCTTGCTTTTGCCTTTTTTTTCTTTGGTGGTAGGTCGTGTCAAAGTCCTGGTCGTTATGAACACAGTCTACACGAGTCAGATTTCCTCACATCACAGCATTACTTCATGGTTAAAAAACATATTGCTTGATGTCCTACCCTTCGCGAGAAGCCAGACCACCTGACCCATAAACAAAAGGAGATCTATGATAAAAGGAAACCCCTGCAACCATCGCTATGTACTGGTACGTATCTGGAGATCGAAACATGTACGAACATGCTACCGGTCGACTTCTCTAACATGCCTACGTACATTAGCATCACCCTTCGTCCCTCCATTCCTAATCATCCTCAATGCGGAGCCTCGAGACGTCTGGAGACGAATCATCCTGGGACTCGAATCTTGGCAGCTGCCTGACAATGACAGGCGACTTGCCCTCAACACGGTCCGCGAGTGCTGCTTGCACTATCTCGTACTTTCCTGTAATGTACTCATCCATGGTCCACTTACTAGTGTCGGTGAGATCAGTGATCTTGTGCGCGATCTTCACGCCACCACGTTGTATCGGCACCGGATTCAACTGTCGCTCGCCCTGGAAGTAACCCCACCCATAAAGGTTCTCTGGATCTCCTAGGATGATCGTGTACTGATCGGATGTGTGCTCGACTATTGGATTGAAATTCTGTAGCAGCCAAACAGCACCGGCAGTACTCTCAGCACTGATGACCAAGACCAAGACCCAGTCTGTGCGCTCCCATAGAATCTTGCTGACGTCCTGTCCCTTGGGTAGGTTGCCGTTATCTGACCAATTCTCCTCCTCGGCTGCACGAAGCTCTCCAACTTGGAAGCATACGAATCCAGTAATACTGTTACCTAGGATGGTGCTGTTGTTGCTGGAGCCACTGGAATACGATTCCTCTGAGATGTCAGCACGCCTCCTTCGGTTGCGGTCCTCAACCCCGTCTGAAGAGTGGATTATCTGTCTTGCTAGGTCGATAGCTACAATCGGATCGGTGGCAACTTCACGTGGGTCGTTCCAGTCGACCAGCTCCTCATCAGGGGCCAGTGGGATAAGCGATGGGACGATGCGATAGCGATAACCGTTGTAGGATCCCGCGGGTATGTATGGGTAAACGTATGTATTTAGTACTGTGAACAGTTCCCTTAGAGAAACCCTTGTCTGAGTAATCAGTTTGAGCGAGAGCTTTGAAGTAGTCCTGAACTGCCCCAGCTTCAGGCATCCTGCGGATCTTGCGATCATTTTCATGTACCCACAACCAGAACTTCTCTTGGCCCTCAGCTGTTGGTAGTGCATCTTCGAGGAGATCGACTTCGTTCGCGTATACGTCGTCAGGTGAGATGGCCTGGTCACGGTCGTCGGATCGGAGTCTCATTCGCTTCTCGAACACTCTCTTTCGGATATCGAGAAAATCGGCGGCTTCAGCGGCAGTGTATCCATTGGGGAATCTGAAGTCCTTGTCTTTGTACTGTCTCCCAAGTTCCTCTCGAATTTTCTCGGCTTTTGTCGCGTGTGTCGATGTCATGGTGTGTACAATCGGAGGAGACGTGAAATGTGAGGGTGCTTTATGAACACTGTTCAGTGAGCGGATACAGTTGCGGTCGTGTTTGTGTTGAGTGTGGAGATAGGGTAATATGAACCACGGAGCGCTGACAAATGGTTCAAAAAGAGAGAAACTAAACAGCTCTGTAGAGTAGTGTACTTCTTCCTGATATAATAGAGCTAATTTAGCGTTATGTAAACATTAATAGAGAATCCTAAAGTCTACAATACTGTTGATCTTTGCAAATGTTCTTACGAAGGGCTACCTAGGTAATGTAAGCTGTAAGGTAGGCCTTATTATCTCTATACCTGTTTAGTCTTTCCCTTGGATAGGGCAGTAGACACATCGAAAATCAGTTGCCAGAAGCAACAAGCGTTACGCTAAACGCCAAGGTAAGCCCTCATCATCCTTGAAGACCAAGATGATCTGAGTTCGCACATGTTCAAGAGTCGCGACTATCCTCAGATAGCTCATCACTGTGTCTGTCCATTAGTAATCGCATGCCTCGAGATGGTATCTGTACGCAATATCAATCTGTGAACAAGATTTGTCCATGGAACCATATAGGGTAGTGGAGGTAGCATACAGATCGCGGAAGATGTTGAGTCTGATAGCCAGCACCTTTGTCTACTAAATCATCTGACCATGCAGGTTGTTAGAGATTGTCACGGACACACATAAAGGATTATTAATGTTTGAGAGCAAGCAAATCTCTATGAATATACTTATAGGTCTGAGATCGACCTACACAACTTCTTCTATCATCATCCTCCATCCTCCATCATCATCTATCATCATCATCGTGCTCAGTGGCTATCCTCTCTCGACCGCACTTGAACACCTTGGATCTATTGCTGAGTCTCATCACAAACGCAGAATATGGCTCCCATCCCCACGCCGTCACGTAGTCGAGGACCGTTTGAATATGCTCAGCAGAATTAGCCCACTTCTTTGTCACATCGGCAGAAGGACAACATCACATCCGCGCACAGCGAACACAACACACACAAAAGAGAAGTTTGAAGAGATATAACATTCCCAGGAAAGAAAAAAAAACACCCAGCATTAAATACCCAACATCATCATGCGTCGTACGCCTTTGATTCCACCCCCTTCCGCAATTGCAGAAAGAACAAACGTGTAGTAGTTTGAAGCACATCTTCCATCCCTCCCAGAAGTCCAGCGACTAGACAGACACAGAAGAAAAAGCTGCTACTACAACTACGAATATTGGGATCATCTGCGGCGCTTATTTCCTTCATCTCGTCTCGTGTCGTTTCATGTCTAATACCAAATCTTTCGCTTTCGCTCGCTTACAAAGATGCTAAAGTTCATGCCTCAATACCTTCTTCAATCGTACCGTGTCCGTTCATGCCGCCGCCGTTGATGCCCATTCCGCCGGTCAGAGCATTCATGGCATCGCCATTGCTCTGGCCATTGGGCATGTCGTCGTCGAACTCGAGCTTCTCTTGTTGCGCGATGGCTTGTTGAGAGACGATTTCGGCGAGGCGCTTGAGGCGGGGTGTTTGCAGCCCTATCGTGCGTGTTAGTCGTGTTTCGATTGAATGATAGATTGCTGAAAGGGAGTACTTACAAGAAGGCGTGTATGTCTCAAGTGCTGTGATGACTCGCGGTTCCGCAATCTCGTATGGACCACTGTCCTCCATGTCGACTGCTGTGAGCAACAGGACGTCGCTCTTCTCTGTCACGCGCGATGCGACAGCCTTCATAATCTCGCCATTGATGGGCTGCTCATAGTCGGCTACCAGGTATTGGTTCAACAGCTTCTGGATCTGGTTCGGACTCAACATCCAGCAAATGTCCTGAATGATCTCAATGTCGTTCAAGGTAGCCTTCTTCAGTTGGAGCAGCTTGGTAGCTTGCATCAGATGCTCAAGCTGCAGAGTGCCCTCAGGCATGTCATGCGATTTGCACCACTCTTCGATACGAGTGATGTTGTAGTTGATCTGCAGGCCTCGCTTCCATGAAAGGAAGTTGCGGCGCATGAGCAAGTCGTTGAAAGCAGTAACACCCACTAACCTCAACAACTCAGTAACACACTGTGTGATGATGGAATCTTCCAGGTAGTAAGCCTTCATTGCCTTGTAGACGCTGTTGAGCAGAGTGAGTAGGTTGTCCATGCTGTAGGCAGGGGTGTTGCTGCCCTGAAGCAGCTTTCCGAGGAAACGGTTGCTCTCGTTGGTGACGAAACCAGGCAGCGATTGCGATTCGATGATAGCAGGGATGATCATCTTGTGCAACTTCTTCTTCAGGACCTTCATCCAGGTATGGTAGATGTTGAACTCAAGACTCTCAAGATCATGCTTGACAATCTCCAATAATCGGTCGTACTCGTAGTTGTCGGTCTTTTGTTGCTCGTACCAGTCTTCCGCAAGGAAGACGAACGATAGCATCTCGTGTACGTTTGACAACCAGAAAGCACCTGGGTTAATTGCATCTTCCGCATCGTGTTGCATGACCTCTTGTTGAATCGATTGCATGACGTTTGCGAGGAAACGCTCCGACTCCTTGACGAAGCCGTTGTTCCACATCTCTGAGGTGACAAGGTTGATGAGATACGCAGGGAAGAGGACCTCCTTGTCGGTAGGAGGCGGTGTGGTTGTGGGAGATGGAATCTTGAGGTTCTTGATCAGGCCAAGGGTGACCTCATCGTTCAACATATCCTCCTCAGCAAGGATGTTCTCAAGCTCAAGCTCGACGTTATCAAGCTGAGCAAAGGTTGAACCAGAAAGGTTCTGCCTGTGGATAGTGGAACCAGGAGCCATCGAGACAGGCCGTGGGTTGTACTGTTCGCTGAAGCGGTTGATATCGCGGGTATCCGGTCCGGCACTGCGCCTCTTTGGCTTCTTCGACGAGACGAGCTTGATCAAGCTGCTGGGGGCTACAGAGGTGGAGTGACCGTTGGTCAGGTCGGCGATGGGGCCGGATCGCTTCATCAGTTCGACCTGCTCTTGCAACTCAGCGAGCTGTTGACGGAGCGTCATCTTTTCGGTCTCGGTAACGTTGCTCCTCCTCTTAGATTGTTCCAGGTCGTCTGTGGTCCTCTTAAGCGACGCACGGAGTTCCTTCTCCTCTTCCTGGAGATGTCGCATCTTTGCAGTGCTTTCTTCGTAGCTTGTCTGCAGCTTCTTGTATTCGTCTTCCATCTGGCTGAGCTTGGCGGCGGTGATACCAGCCTGGTTGGCTTCGGCTTGAAGCTCCTTCTGACGGTTTTCGAGGGTACGGCTGCGCTCCTTGTACGATTTGATCTGGCTCTCGTAGTTCTCCACCTGCGACTTGAGCGACTTGTTTTGCTCCCTCATCGTACCGAGGTTCTGGGTAAGCTCGACGACCTTGTTCTCCAGCTTGTAAGAAATGTTCTTGAGATCGCGGGATTCGGCGCGAAGGACCTTGTATTCCCTGCGGGCCTTCCTTCCTCTCCAGAGTTTCTGGACAGTGATGATGTCGTTGATCTCCTTCTTGTACGCGCGGATGTATCGTTGTTTGCGCCAGTTGCGTTGGATCATACGAGCAGCATCTCCAAGCCTCTTGTCCAGCATGTTCTTGCGGAGAAGGAATCCCTTTGCGGCAGCCTCGAACTTGATGAGCGAGTTTCGGACAACAAGGAAGCGCTTGCGATCTTTGCTACCACGCCAAACCCTCTGAATGGTAGTAGCGGCCTTGACCTGCCTAGCCTCCTCAGCCTGTTCCCTAGTCATGTAGCCCCTAGCCAACGATTGCACGAGAATGACAGCCTCACGCATCTCGAGATAGATACGGCGGTAGTATTTAGCTCGGAGGTTCTTCTGGATCATGATAGCCGCATCATTGAGACGGGCTGTGCGTAGGTTCTCGAGGAACGCAAGCATACCAGCGCGGAAGAAGATCTTTGTTAGACCCATCTGGTACTTGTCGGTGCCATCGTTCTTGCCGGCACCTAAGGCTTTCTTCAAAATCGCGGTAGCCATGTTTCGGATTTCTGGCGTCCAGTCGGAGGACCTGACCAACATGTAGTAACGGAGGGCGAATTCTTCATAGGTCCATCGTGTGGGGTAACCCGCGCAACTGATTCTGACTGTTTCAAGAACACCACAGGCACGCAGTTGACCAAGAACCATAGGTCCATCGAATTGCCAGGCCGCCTTGGCCTCGTTGGGCTTGATACATCTAATGTAGTGGACATCGGTCGAGTTGATAGTCTGCATGAGTTCGATAAGGGAAGACTTGAAGATGCCACCAAGCGTTGGCTTGCGGTTGGTCGCCATCCTTCGTCCAGCCGACATGGCAGTGCCCGGCTTAGAAGAGGCATTGGTAGCGGTCTCCTTCTCTCGGATCGAAGCAGCAGTATCCAAAACCTGGGTCAAGAACTTGTTGCTTGCAGCCTTGAGAACCTCCATGTGCTCGTCGGGCACAGTATCTCTGTTCTTCTCGATGAAACCATCGGATTCGTATGTGACGTCGATGGCGTAGTGGCATACTGTGAAAGAGGACTTGCCGAACCGGGGCTTCTTGTAGAACTTGTGCTTATCTCCAGAGTAGTTGTGGTGCAGCTTAGTGACAAACTGCTCGTCCGAACCCATAGGCAGACGTGACTCTTCATCCAGTAGAGACAGAATACCCAGCTTGCCTTCGATGAGGTCGATACATGGCTGATTGTCGGCGAAGTCGATGAAAGTCCAGTCGATCTGTTCGCGCATATACTCTTCCTGCTCCAGCTTGAAAACGTGTGCGTTGAATTCTTGTTGCAACTTCTCATTAGCATAGTTGATACAGAACTGCTCGAAAGAGTTCTTTGCGAAATGCTCGAAACCGTAAATATCAAGGACACCAATGAAGGTGTGGGCTTGTGAAATAACCTCCTCGGTGGCCAGACTCTCGTTTGTTCGCTCAACCAGCCAGTCGAACAGACTGGAATAAATGAACTTGGCAACGGAATCTCGCACTACAATAGCCTGTTGCTGTGTCAAGTTGGAAACAATCTT